TGGGAACTTTAGGGATGGAGTATTCCTTTTAAAATCACGGGTGAAAAGCTTAGATTAATAGAAAACAAATTTCCTAGTGCGAACCTAGGACCTATCATAGCTTTTTCCAAGTTTTCGGAATACCGATACGAATATTATTTTTTTCCTACACGTAGATTTCTTGTGAAATTCATGGAGAGGTGAAATATTTCGCCACCTGAAATTGACTGTATTTAAAGCGAACGTTGTGTGTGAAGTCTTACATACCGCAATGTAAATACCATTGTCCCATGATGTTAACGTGGATTCCATGCATGGCCTATCAAACTACAATGATGCAGACCTGGAAAAATGGAAAAATCAGGGAACACCCTCAGTGGTAGAACGATCCAGCCTATTATGAGCACGCAAAAAAGTTCGTTCATAATTGTCATTGAACGTGTCAAAAAAGCAGATGTATTGATTTGGGACGAAGCCAGCTTGTCAAGCCAGCGAATGCTCGAATTGGTCAATGCGATACACCATCGTCTGAGCGACTTTCATTGTAATCGACCTTTTGGGGGTAGGCAAGTCATTTTAGTTGGAGAGTTCCTCCAATTACGCCCAGTTCCGAATGTTTATGATGAAGGTATGTTCATGTTCCATTCGCCGATCTATCAAAGTGCCATAACGCACCGCTACGAACTGACTACTGTTCTTCGACAAGAAAACAAAGAGTTTCTCGATGCACTGAAAGAAATCAGGGTTGGTCAGTGTAGCGAGAAGACCTTTGAATATATCAACTCCCTTTCAAGATCCCTCGAGATATCAAAAGACGAGATGAGCCACATCTATTTCCGAAAGTCAATAGTCAAAAGGTTACCGGTAGCATTACATAATCGCCTGGCCTTCAGGATCTCCCTTTCCCTGAGTACACCTTCGAGGCTGAGCACACCGATCAAACTCAAGGCATGGACTGGCCGGGTTCTTCAGTGTTGCACCTAAGGCCCGGCTGTCCGGTTATGCTAGTGTGGAATTTAAACGAAAAATTAAGAAACGGTAGTCGAGGAATCTTTGAGGAGTGTGTTGGAGATAGGCTGCAAGTTTCATTTTCGGGCGTTGGTTCTATTACGATCGAAAGGCAAACGTGGTTTCAAAGGAACAAGCAAGGAAATGTATTAGGCAGTATTTGCCAGTTTCCGATTGTGTTCGCTGTGACTTGTCGCAAGTCACAGGGGTTGACTCTATCTGCAGCCGTCGTCCACTGCTCCAAGGAATTTGTACCAGGACTAACATACGTGGCACTATCACGAGTAAAGGATCCACAGAATCTCCAAGTTTTAAACTTCAGATCGAAAAGCTTGCTCCCGCCTAGCTCTCGAGTTTTACGTGAATGTTCAACTGACCTCGGTCAGCTAGAAGAAGATCTAAAATGTTGTCGTAATCAAGATCTATCACAAGAGTTATTTGAAGTTCGCGACAGATTTTCCCTGGAGGAAAATGATTGCGATGAGACGTGTACTTTTCCAGAGGAACTTAGCAATGGGCCTGTTGCTTCTTATTTCGAGAGAGACGATGATGCACCCGTAACGGACATTGTCCAGGTTTATGACGCATTGCTGAAGCCCAATTCGTAACTCTGGAGCCCTCCATCCTCTGTTGACATTAAAAAAATTCTTGCGTCAATGAAAATTGTAAAGCCGTTGAATGAGTTTGCAGGGGACAAAAACAGTTGTATCAAGTTGTTGGAAGAAGATTTTCGAGACAAGACAGCAGCTTTTGTCAATCTTTTATGGTTTCATTTCCATGAAATTTTTAAAGAACACATTATCGAAAACCCTGATGAGGTCATTGTAAACATCTCACGCGCAGGTTTTACGGGCTGCACTACTAAACTTCACAAGTTCCTCATTTCACCTCTCTTCTATGAATATGTCAGAGGTCTTTTTAACAGCACACATGTGAGCCACCCAGAAAGGACCACTGCCACAGAGATCGGAACGACGTTGTTTGAAAAGTTCCTTGGCCAGTTGGTAAACGTCATTTCCCACTCTATCGATGAAGAAAGGCAAGAGCCGGTCAGATTAGATGTTTCTGAAATGACCGATCCGGGAAAGGCCAAAATCAGGCATGTTGGTGGGTGGGCAATCAGGATGACTCTTGAAGCTGAAAGGCGGTATGCCAGAGATAACATGCACACCAAAGATGCGCGAACACTAAGCAAAGTTCAAGAACACGTTTCAAGCTGTGACCTAATCGAGGAAGTTCTTCTCGTGCCCTATGAAGAATTCAAGGAAAAATCAAAGCATCTGGAAACATTAGCGGTCACAGAAGCTCGACAGTTTAGAGAAAGAGGACTTGTCCATATTTCTGATGAGTGTTACATGTTTTTCATGCGCATGGAACAGCTTCGCATGGATTTGATGAATTCCAAGAAACTTCAACAATTCAAAGAACATCTTATAACGAATGCCTACGAAGAAATGGTGAATAACAAGGAATTAGAAAACCTCTGGATAACTTGTTTCCCCTCAGATGAAGCTTGTAAAAGAAAGGTAGCTATGACATGAAATAATACTTTTTCTAACGGTTCTATCATTCCTCAAAGCTCGTATTAATTTAGGAGTTAAGATTATAGGCCACATTTGAAACTTAAATACGAAACCTGCTCGAAGATCCTTGGTAATAGCATCTGGAACACTCTTCCCATTTGATTTTCAGGAAATTGTCGAAAACATAAGAAAAAAAGTCATTCAGCGTTACGTCAAAATGGGCGGGTGCCAATATCTCCGCGACAACAGAATGGCACGACGCGAGAGAAAAAGAGTGATGGAGCGAAACAAGAGGCACTCCCAGAAAAATGACAGAATTCCATTTCAGGTAAATAATGCATAAATACTCGCAGTTGGCAAAGTACCATGCCACTTGCGCCTGCGAATAAACAGCGGATACGCTCTCTCTTTAAGATTTCGCAGGTGGTGATTCTGTACGTGTCGAATTCTGTGGGCAATGTTAGTTCTGTTTTGGAGGACATTGATCTGTTGGATCAAAAGAAAGAGATTCATCACAACTGCTTCGTTCTTGCTGGTAATTAAGTTGAATAAGGGACAAAAACGGGGCAATTATCTGGCCTCGTGTGTGAAATTTGATTATTTATTGCTTTTAAGTGAATGCTACCTGAGCATTTAAAAACTCCGATAAACCTTGAAGGAAATCATTAGAAAGCTCAAATTTTAATACATGAAGCACTGTTCCAACAGAAATATTTGTAATTTAAATCATGATTTACTCGTAATGACAAACAGTTATCCAAGGTTAACAAATCTCTCTCTGTGTTTTCCATATATTCCTAAGGTTCACAGAGATAAGAACAAGTACTGACACTTAACAGGGATACTGTCGAATATGCTACCTAGTTCCAAAATATACTCATATATACAAAGGGACCCTTCACCTGCAAAAGCTATTTCCAATGGTAGACTTATTGGATTTGCAGAAAAACATAATCACAATGGTCTGACTGTCACTTTTACGATGCACCAGTTAATCCAGCTTTGTGAAGCATATGGAGTTCCCCATGTTAGCCGACTGAACAAGACTACCATCGGCCAAAGGCTGGCGCTAGCCATTGCTTCCAGAAGAGGCATGTTAGCCCCCTCTGCAGTAGACTCCCAACAGTACACTGTTGTAAGTAGCGAAATGGATGCAGCAACGGGAAGAGTTTGTTTGAGGTTATCTTCAGTGTCCAGACAGTGTTCCCAAATATCAGGTACACATACTTGGTTTATAGAAAATCTTGTCTTTTTCTTATCAGTCATTTCCTCTGCTTAAAACTTGAGCTCAGCAAGGAGGATAATGTGTGTACATTTGAAAGTAGCTGGTGCTTGCTTGAATGCCCAAAGGGCATAGGTTTCAAGAGGTGTGCAGTGGTGCACCCCGAAAACTTTTTAACAAATGTGGCTGGAGATAATGTGATGATTGATAACATGAAATATTTCCTGAAAACAGATCAAGGGGATCCATGCAGTACAGTCTAATCAAGTAATAACTCCCATTCCACAATTTGTTTTTTCACAGAGGACCAACTGTCTAGTGTAGTAGTGGAAAATATATTCTTAAAAAGGTGAGTAGTGTTGTTTCAGAGTTTTTCTAGTCATTGTTGAGCACAGTTATTATCTGCATGTTTATTTAAGTGTGGATAATTTTAAAACAGAAGAGTTTATTTCAAAAAGGACATGTGTCATTGCCAAATATATGAAGTTTTGCTCCATTAAGCTAGCTTTTCACATCAAATTTGAAAGTACTGGAACTAATACTCTTCTAATTTAAGTTATTAGGTATTAACAAAGAAAAAATAAAGTTATTTTAAGATGAAATTCGTGAAATCGCAAACAAACTGATCAATGCTTCTCTAATACTAATTATTTAGGCAAAAGAAGTTATTATAAATATAAATAAACACAAGTGCATCTACCTTACTACAAGCAATGAAAGTGACTACCAAAACATGAGGACACATTAACTGGCCACAAGACATTCATTTGCAAAACCAAACAAGCAGTGTAAATTATTCATTCAATTACTGTTCATTAAATTACTAAATTACAAAGATTTTTGGGGTATGTACAAGCAACAAGCAGAGTCAGTTATTGAGTGTACTCCAACATTGCTTTTTCCGCTGATAACTGTTTTCCAAATCGAATTGAATTCTGTGTTGATTGTTGCTGATTGTATGTTGGATTATTGTTTTGACCATTGCAAGATCTTACTTGACAAAAGTGGTTTTCTACACAATCCTGATTGACAATGGCTGGCCTAATGCACGAATGTGGGAAATACTGGAGTTTTACTTTTACCAGAGCATGGACGCCAAGGCACATTGATTGTATATCGAACCACAATTTACTAGAGATAAAGGATGAATTGTCATCTGAGCTCTTCTCTCTTCAATCCAACATAAAAGAATAAAAACTGTTCAACTTTTTCAGCCTGATGTCCCTGATGTTTCTTTGTGGACATTTCGAGTTGAACAAGTCAACTATTTATGCAGTGTGCTGCAGGAGCCGAAGTGCAGAGTCAATGGGGGTTCCATTGTCGAGCTCTTGGCCTTCCATGGAGGCTATAATGTGATCTCGATAACTCTATAAAAATAAAAAAAAATGAATTTCCGCAACTTAAATTACTAAGAATTATCAAGAATGCGAGGAAATAAGATATGTGGCTGAAAATTGGTTAGGATTTATTACCAGTATTTTGACTGTGGCCTTGTTTCAGGAAATGGGGAATGAAAAAAACAAGTATTTGACCAGTAAATAGTTTACTTGTAGGAAACCATCGTTCATCTTTATAATGCTAACCTGCAACATGAAAAGCATTTTTTTGTCAAGAACATCTTCTGCCAAGTGATTTCTCATCCTTGAAGCAGGATCCAACTCAATGTGGCTGAGTGTAAGCCTTTCGTGCAATGGAAGGGAAAAACGGGACTGATCCCAATGGAAAGCATCTTTCCACTGCCTCCAGACTATACTTTTGCCTCCAATCTTCGAGCACCTTGGTTTCTTTGATTGGTTGCTTTTCTCGATGTTGTTGCGAATTTTCTTGAAACTATGCTATAAAATTCAAGAAATTTATCTTTAAGTAGTGGTTGAATGGCATAACATCAGACAGGGAAAAGTACATGTACATTTACAAACTTAAGATCAATCACAGAGGAGAAACCCAATTGGGTAAATTTATGGATTTATGTAAGTTATTGGCAAGTGAATAGTAGCATTTTACCTTGCAATCCATGATAAACACCATAGGATCTCCTGTGTGTAGATTTCTTGTAGCAAAGTTGCTGGCTGCAGGGTCTTACTCAAAATGCAGTTTGATAAACTGGCGATTGCAATCAGCACCATCAAGGATACACCGGTATCTACTATTAAAAGAAGACTTTGAAGTTAATCAGTTGCATTTTATCTATTTTTATTTTGACTGAGTCTTATATTATGCTTTTGTATTCCTTTTTTAGGTTGTGAATGCTGCGTCAGTTGTAGCCAATTCACAAACTGCACTACATGTGTGATCTTCATTATGAAATACACTTCAAATGGTATGAATTGTTATGCCTGCTAGACATCTGCTGACATCTATTATTATTATTATCTTTTTTTACTCAACTTGTACTTGTTGACGAAAGTTAAGTAGGCTCTAGTAGAATAGGTTTTAAGTTGGAAATTTAGATACACTACCATTTATCAATACAATCCACTACTTTTATGAAACATTTTAGAGGAAAATTCTTTGGGTATCCATGTCAAAGTAATACATATTAGCAATAGTAAAGCTTGCCATATAATTTTTCTCACATCTGCTCAATTAGCTGGTGGTCATTAACTTAGGAAAGGGCATATTGTACAAATAGTTAATTACCTGAATCCTGTTTCTGTCATCTTCTGTACTCCCTTCCAAAACTGTAAATAGAGGTTTGTCGGGGAGCAGTGCCCTGAGGGAAATTGGGCAATTGGGAATTGAAATCCACAATCACTCAGGAAAATGAACTGCATCACATGTGTGGCGAGTGAGGGCTTGGCATTACCTGTAAGGTTAACAGGTACATTTTACACTCTGTAGTTACAAAGTTAGGACAAAAAGATATTTTGTTTACTTGGGTAATGCTGAAAAGATTTTTTGGTCATATCAGTATACAAATCTCACCTAGTATTTTCTCCATGTGACCATGGGCTTCTCCCAATTCCACAAACCCAACAAGTTTGTGTTTTCCGTTTCTCATTACCATTTCAAGATTTTCCTGAAAATTTATATAGAAATGTATGTTAGAACTTATAACTAGCACAACAACAAAATGGGTTTATGAATCTTGCAATTCAGAGTGCATTTTTCCCAAGGTATAATCGAAAAATCATCACAACTGTTTTTTTTTAGATTTGCCTTCTATAAAACAGAGCATTTTCAAAAATCTATCAGCCTAACAATGCACCTGAATTTTCATCTCATCGATTACAAATCCTCCCCAGTAGTCTTCCTCTTTGAGGTTTCTTGCTTTTGCCTCCATCAAGCACCATTCCAATATCTCAGCATTCCACCCATCTTGTTGTTGGACTCTGTTTTTATACATCCTTATAATGAAAACATGGAAAAATGTGTTAGACTTGGTTTTCAGATGTAAATTTTTTTTTTAACGAAACCTAGACATAGACATTGACACTTGCCTGATTATCTTGTTACTTGGCAACTTGATGAACTGCCTTAATGGGTCAAGAACATGTGGGTTCTTGGTATATAAATCTATACACAAGCGGATAATCCTATAATAAAGCCAAAAAGAATTTCAATGAAAAGAAAAAACATTGAATAATATTGCTTAATATCACTATCAATGATCTTTCATTTTTTGGTAAAGCAACTTTAGATGTTAAAAAAGGTATACATTGGATGTTAATCAGTATCCCCTTCTTTTTTTTTTTTGTTGCTTTAATTCCTGCTTCAAGGGACAGTTTTGGGTTTCTTATTCCCTTTGGATTGTTGATAACTTGAAGCATAGGTCCATGTAACTTTAAATTATTCCTCACCCTTTGAGGATGCATCAAAAGTAAAGAGGTGAGGGAACTTACTTAGGATGCCACCTGTGACCATTCTTGCCAGCAGTCTGAATATTTTTTTTCTGTTGTTCCCAGAGGCATTCCATTTCTTTGGAAATATTTTCTTTTTTTGTGGCCCAGAACATTGAATCGAGGTCTGCATTATCCTCTTCATCAACCACCAAGGCTTCGCTGTCATATTTGCTGCGCCAATATCTCTCCCTCTCCTCTGCATGTTTTCTTCTCGCTTGTTCCTGAGCGACTTGGTCCACCAATTCCTCTCTAGACAGGAACCGTTTGTTGCATTTGGGAGGAATGACCTGCCTGTTAGAAATTCGTTTTTGATGCCGTCTGTTGAGACTAAAGAGCGAGCGACAATTAAGGCATTGACTAGTGGCCCCAGACTTGCAGACTACTAGACAAAGGTCAGAAAATACTCTCGTTTCTGGCTCCTTGGAACAATCTGAAAAGGTCCTGAAGCTGGCCTGTTGTGTATGGGGATAGGGTAACAACTGCTTCATCCTTTTCCAGAACAAATCCATGGCAGATGGGTAAGTTTTCCAACCATTGCAATAGGCAGGGGATTTGCCCAGGAAATGCTGGAGTTGTGCTGCCAGAATTTCTCAAAACAGACTCCAAATCAACAACAGAACCATGGGATCTAATGGTGTAGCTTGCCTGAAAAGATTGAGACAACTTCACCGACAATTCCAGGGTCAGACGCTGAGAATTGAAGTCCATTTTTTCACGTCTAGAAAAAATATAATGTCCTGGGGCGACAATTTCCCTTGTCCAGGTTTGGGGAATTGAAATTTCTTCCAGAGTGAAACCCAACGATTTTCTGATTCCACCTTCGGACCTTCTAATATTTAAGTACGCAGCCTTACGATCGCTTCATGGTCCACGTTTCACGTGCTTGACTCTTTCACCCCAGAGATATTTTATGATTTCGCCTAACGTAATTTTCAAAAACGAAGTTAACGATTCGCTATTCTCTTTGTCAGCCACACTGTGGGTGATCACGTCCCTAGCAAAGGTAAGGCTACCTTCAGCATACTCATAATTTGAAATGAACCTGCAACGAAGAAAAATTATATATTTTAAACTGAATTGAATGGATACTGAAATAAACTACACATGCGGACATTCAATTTGTATACCAAAGAAAGCGTTCGGATTTCGACTCACCAAAATTTCCAATAGTGCAAACTTGAAACTTCGCCACTCTTTACTCTCTTCTGATTCGCTTCGCCGTCAATTTCACCGCGTCTCTTCCTCTTCGATAGTATTTTCGCGAAAATAATCGAAGCTTAGATGCTCACAGAAAACCCCGCAGAATATTAAAATTTTGTACGTTGTTTATCTGTTTTACTTTCGACTCGCTGCCTGATTGGTTGATTAGGACAATAGGTTAAGGCGAGGTGTCTTTGTGGGGATGGGATAAGTATTGTACATTAATCGACCGTACCACTCGCGGTAGAGAGAAAATTGACCTCGTACCCAAGTCTCTTTCGCGGCCGTGTCCAGTCTGCGTGTTCAAAGCATAACCAGAAAGAAGCGAACTTGGAAATTCAGGTAGAAAACACTCGTTTCCAGCGAAATGCGCGTGAAGTTTTGGTATTGAGACATGTCCCAGGGTGCAGCGATCTTAGATCGTAAAGTGTGGCTGAGAAAAATGCCGATCGGGAGGATTTTCGGGGCGCAAACCACCTCCGCGTGGACCAAGGTCGAAATCGGAGTGTGCAGCCTTGACTTCGTCTTTTGACATGGATAACAGTGATGGTAAAGCAAGCTTAAAACGGCAGAAATCGCCAGAAAACTACGACGGATACACAGGGCATGAGTAAGTTTTTATTGATTTTACGTGTAAAATATTCATATTTCGAAATATTTATCGTAAAAAATCGACCATATTTCGTTCCCCATACTATTCCTTATAACGTGTTCAAATTTTCAACGGTTCCTCCCGTAACTTAACACCGAGTCACACAACGCGTGACGCGTTCATGAATTCATCGTTGGCTTTTTCTCGAGACGTGAGCTTGGGCCGCCTGTGCGGACACTGGCCATGTGCGCACCGGTCTATTCTTATTGTTACGATTGTATCGTAAGTAAATATGGTTCAGTTAACAAACAAACAGCAGCAACAATATCTTTGAAAAATCGTGGCCCAAAATATCCTGTCTGCGAGGGTAGATGAAAGGCCCAAACCTTGCTGGTGGTCAATCTCATCTTTTAAAATAAAAATATATATGGGTCCACACAATGCTGATGTTAAAACTGAGATTTGAAAATGTCCCCACAAGCACAATGGGTATTTGTCCCCACAGGGAAGGATTGAAATTTTTAAAGATGTCATGTGTCCGGATAAACGTTCGCGAGGAGTACTTTGAAATGCACATATCCTTATTTTCCTACGTGACGGGGGATGGGTGTCCCCAGAATGCAGGCATACATACATGGTCCTCGTAAGTGAGCATTGTCATGTGTGTATGTATGTATGTATGTATGTACGTACGTACGTATGCATGTAACATGGCCTTCATTACAAATCATAAGCCTAATACTGTATGCTGTATGAATAAGGAACTTACTCAGGTCTAAAGTGCCCAAATTTTGGGAAATCGTGCCTCCTCCGCGAACAAAATATGCATCTACTTTGGCAACGCCAACATCTGGCCAACGTTTTCGTCCTGACCCTTTCCTCCTCCTCGTCAAACCACTCTAGCCTATCCACCAACAGGGACGGTACCACCGGGTTATCGTCTTCCCTTATTAATTGTTTCGATTTCATTAGCTTTATCCGCGAGGACACCAACGTTAAGAGTTGAGGCGATGGCGCCTCGCCTGGTTGCCATCCTCCCAATCTTCCAGGGGAGATGTCCTTTAGCTGCTTCTTCGTATCCTCGTTTGCGGTTTCGATCAGCTGGCCAAAGAATGCGCTCACGCCTTCTAACACCGGGTTTCCTCTAACCTTATGCCCCGCTCTCAATCCTGCCTGACAGGCAAAGGTATAAATTGCCACATCTAGCAATACTGTCAGCTCTTCTGGAAGGCGCTTTTTCGAACCTGTTGTCCCAGACGAAGATGTAGCACACGACGCCATGTGAATTTCGACGAGGAGATGTTATTTTCCATCATTGTCGATTTTCAATATTCGCACCACAAAGAGCTCGTTTTCTGATTGGTGCGGGAATAGGGGTGCTTTGTTACCATTATCGATTGTCTCCATCCAAATATGAAAGTCAATGAAAAGGCCGGAAATGAGAAATAAATCACGAGGCCACAAGTTTTAGCATGGGTCAGAGAACCTGTATAAATGTCAATGATTGTCAGTGGCTAGTTGTTAATATACGATTAGAGATGCCTTCCTCTTACCCACTGTCATTCCTGCGTCCTCTGTACGATATTGCTGTGTGGCAATTTATTTTGATGAGTGGCTAAAAGGCAATTTCAGGAAGGGAATCACCCCGTAACACGCACATAAAGTTCACTTGAAAAATGCACGTGGTCGTGGCTAATTTTTTATACGGAGCTTAAGCAACCACGACGACTACCGGGACGACGACGACCGGAAGTAGGATGAACGTTAGTGCGCAAGCGCGGCCCAAACATTTCGTCGTCGTGCCAGCGTCGACGACGTCAGAAAGAGTTGTTTCACGTCGTCGTGAACGTGGGAAGAAACTTGAGTTGAATTGAGCACTAAAAGGTACGAACTTACTACCATTTGCCAAATTTGATAACTGGTTGGAGTTTTTATTGTCTTGTGCCGTTGTTTTAAGCTCTTATGTCCGGGTCAATTATCACAAACGGCTTATTTTAAGTTTTCCTTTTTTGCACAGATGGCGGCAAGTGTGAAAACTGGAGAGAAAGCAAACACGTAAGCAATTTATTGACGGAATTTAGTGAAAGAATGCTGATTGTGATTATTTTTGAATGAAAAGTTTTAGATAGCATTACTATATACCTGTGAATTCGGGTGCAAGAAAATATAAAGTAGGTAACTTGTAGATTCGATCTTTTACTTAATTAAAAGCGTCGAGGGTTTTCATCAGATTGCGTGTTTACATTACTCAAGCCTTTTTCCCTCTCTGGTTTTGTAACTTTATTTTCGAAATATTTCACTAACTATCCGGCTAAAAAAAGATTCCCTTGAAGAGAAAATAATCTTAAAGGTTCGGCATTCTAGGCTGACCACCGATTGTTTGTAAATGTATTGCTGTCGTTTTGCTTGCGTGAAGTAGAAAGCAACCTTATTCAAACCTGAATCCTGCATTTATCTGGTGCAACATCAGGTTTGTTTATGAGTTACACCCCGTAATGTTAAATGGGAAATAATCTCCGCAAAATCTAGTGTTCTTAATATTTATGGCGGGTAAAAGAAATGTGAAATAATCTCCTCAAAGTCTAGTATTCTAAATATTTACAGCGGAAATTAAAAATTCACGTATCGCCGTGAAAGAACTCGCAGAACAAATTGCAAATGTAGGAGGTCGGAAATAAAATAATTTGCATTGCTTTCGATCTTTTTATTGCGGTAAATTTTCCCTTAAAATTTAGCTCTTTTAACAGCAAAGTAATATGAAAAGATTTTATACTATCAAATAGTGGATTAATTAAATTTTTATTTAGCACAATCACTCACAAATCCCTTTCTTATCTACTTTGGCAGAAATCCAAATTTCGTGTGGAGTAATGACCACGATACCGTTATGTGTCGAGAGGTTCTTCAGATCGAGCCCTACCAATTTAAAATCAGAAGTCCAGAAAGGGGGCAGGCCTGGGAATCTTTGGCAGAAAAGTTAAACGAAAATTCATGTCCAAAGTTCCGGGTGAATGCAAGGTCCGTACGAGACCGCTACAACCTCCTTACCAAGAAAATGGCTGCAAAACTAAAGAGTGAAGAGAAAGCTAGCGGCATTCAAGTTGAAACTTCAGAGCTTGATGACCTCTTAGAAGAAATCCTTGAGAAGGAAAAAGCTGCTAAAGAAAAGTTGGAGAGTGACAACCAGAATGACAAGGCAGCAGCCGAAGACATGCGAAAGAAGGCTCTAGAACGTATGGGGCAAACTGCGAAAAGAAAAAAGGAAAGTGATGACTCAGTACCAAAGAATCTGAAGAAGAAAAGTCGAAGGAGCACATCAGATGCTGTGGAATATTTAAAAGAAAGGGCGGATAAAGAGATTGGTTTGAAAGAACAAGAACTGGAATTAAGGAAGAAAGAGCAGGAGAACATAAAAGAAAGGGAGAGGGAAAAGAACCAGAATCAAGAAAACCTGATCTCCGCCATGGTCAAACAACAGCAGCAGCAACAGCAAATGATGATGATGATGATTAATCAACAGCAGCAACAGTCACAGGCATTTTTAGCTTTTATGCAAAAATATGTTCCAAAGTAACTTTTTCACAAGTTTGTTTGATGAACATTATTGTTGAGTTAAAGTTGTGCATCCCTCCCTTGATATTTTCAAATCTTTTGTTAATAACATTTGTTCTAAAGATGATATATTTATTTCATCACAAACATTTTCAAACTTATTGCGATTATAAACTTTACAATATTTATAAAGTGCTGAAGACTATTGTTATGAGCTCTCCTTTTGATTTGAGAGCAAATAAACAGTAAACAAATGAAAATCTCATGAGAAATACTCTTCCAGTGTTGGTGGGTCAAGATCAAAAAAGGTGGCCGTTTCATTGCCATAAAGACAGGTAAGGGCATTCTGGAGAAGAGCAGAAACGATATGCATTTTGCCAATGCTACTCAGCCCAATTTTTAAATTTTTCTTGAAGTCCAAGAACTTAAAGTAGTTTATTATGTCCCCAAATAGCCATTCAACAGAAGATCTTACAGCACTCATTGCAGTATTGTAAGCCTTCATTTGATCGGTTAAAACTCCAAATCGGAACGGACCCTGAAGATGGACTCTAAGTGGGTACGCGGGATCTCCATACAGGCACGTTGGTTGGCCACCATGGTCAAAGGCGTACTGCTGTAGGTCTCGCAACAGTCCCGAATCTGCAAGCATTGATGCATCATGCTTTCTGCCTTCTGAAACAAGCGAAGGATACAAAAAAGTTACAAAAAGTAATTCATTACTATTTTAAAAGACATTTTTTTTAATTTGAAATCGCAATAACGAAAATATAGCTACATAGTTCACCTACGGGACCATACGTGTTTCCAATTAAGCCATTTGGTAACACAAAAGACTGAAACTTAGCATGGACCCTCTTATGTCCATTGTATAGTATACGCTGATTGTCTCCTGGTCGAGCGATTGGCCTTACAGTGCCATCGATGAAGCCAAAGCAGTTGTGTAAAGGTGAGCCTCTTGCCGTAATGGCTGCTGCGTACGTCTCAAGGTGGTCGGGATCCAAGATCTCAGGATTCCAATGGGTCAATCGTCGGCCATGGACATCAAATATGTAGTCGATCAAATTATTTGTAACCATGCAGATGACAGGGACTGGCTTGGCAAATCTATGAATCATGTCCCCGTATCTGCAAGGGTAGCTTAACCGTCTCAAAAGCATAAATAAGCCCTCCACACCGCCACAAGTCGACCTCTGGTCACATCGTAAGGTCTGAGGAATTTGCAGAACATCGGCAAGTCGGTACACATCTCTTTTCTTGAAACGAAATTCAGCGAGGCACTCTGACTCGACCATCTCATCTAAGTCGAATTCCGCTTAAGATTCGTAAGGAAAATCCGGATTTCTGGGCTCGAATATGTCATATAGAATCAAAAGTTCCATATCATCAATAAAATTAAATCCATGACTGAGAAGACATAGATTCTGAACGTCTCTAAACGATGTCATTTCTTGACAAATGCGAGGCTGCACGAATATATCGAACGTTGTCGTCCTTGAGCAACTTCGCTGCTTAAGTTTCATTTTCCCACCTAAAACGAAGTCCTCGGTCCAGTCTCTACGCGCATACCTGCCGTCGTCGTCCCCTAGGTCGTCGTGGTTGCTTAAGCTCCCTTATGTAAACTGTTAGAGGTACGTGCCTTCGATCATTTGCAATCACAGCTGCTTGGTGAAGAAGTAAAATCGGCGACTGGAAATTGGGAAGTTGGACAAATAGCAACAACCAAACTGGTCGAATGGTGTCAGGATCAGTGGCGGAGAAAGGATCCCCGTCTTCCTGGGAGCAATGCAGCTTACTCCGAAAACGAGCCGTTAACCATACCATGGTTCGATAACATCCCCGTGTGTCATCGGTGCGGGGCGCCATGCCCAAGCTGCAGAAATGAACTCGCTTCTGAATTACCCTCTGAGATGTCCACAGCCCGGGCTATTTTGAACTTTGATGACATCCACGAGAACAACCAAAACGCGCGTGATAATGAGAATGCTGACAAGAACGATGACGAACGTGGTAATGAGCAAGGTGGTAACGCACCCATGGAACCGAATACTGCCCTGCAAGTGCTCAGATGCGAATGCAGTTGAGATCAAGGAAAAGGAAGCATAATGCCTCCAACTAAGTTGGTTCAAACAGTTCATGTTATATTTCGATGAAAACACGTTCAAACGCTTTTTTTACGTTAAAATGCTATGCGAATCAAAAAGGTGATTTTTCTGTTCGACATTAAAATGTGCGCAGTGGGTTCTTGTTCCTGAGATGCGTCGCACGTATAAAAAAAGAAAGGGATTGCTTGCAGCCCAGCATTGCATATTCTTATTATTTCATTCAGTTTATTGCTATTTGCTCAAGTGGTCCTTACATTGTTAAAGTTAAGCAAAAGATCATTGGGATCTTCATTTGAGGCTTTGCAGAAAATACAGCGTCCGTTTTAAGACCTTGTATCCAAGCTAGTGAAACGTTGTTTAAATCGACAAAGTTTTACAAGTTTAGGTACTTCAATAATCATAAGTGGTGTTTAGCTACGCATTAACTACCAGAGGATAATCGTTCAGTCTAGAAATGTGTCAAAAGTTATATAACCCAGAAGCACTTAAGATAATAGGTGTTGAAATAATTATTTCACCAAAAAAGTTATATGACGTCTGAAGTTCCGTCACGGCTGCTTTCTATCACTCGTAACGCTTTAACGGTTTGATATTGTCAAGAAAGTTTGAAATCGGCCAGCCAAGAACTAAGATTTCAACCTATTTCGTACTATTAACATTTTTTTTTATAAGTGACTAATTCTTGTTCATCCTTGAGTGTTTTATGAAGAAATCACTCGAGCGATGCATTTAAAGCTAACAAAAAATCGCTCCGGTTCCGGAAGTCAAACTTCCATTCAGGTAACTTATCAGGATATAGATTAATGTTGTCTTTTGTTTCGTGACCAATCAGAAGAAAGTCCAGATCCTGGACTTTTTACCATGTTAAAAGACGAGTGAAGAAGCTTTTCTTTCTTTCTCACCCCTCCCGCCGCGAGGAGAGAACGGGGCATCGTAGGTTACTACTGACCAACATGGGCTAGCCTTTTAATCGTGTTCAACGATGTCGAATTTTCGGAAGTTTTGTCTTCCTCGACTTCTTACAAGGAAGCCTGATCCCTCGTAATGACGGGATAGCGCAGTTTGACTGCAACAAACCGCTACCTAAAGATCGTATTGGCCACGGGTCATTTGGCGATGTTTACACTACCGACTACCAGGCGCCAGGAACGACAACTTCAGAGACGGTTGTCATTAAAAAAATGTTAAATGTCCTGGATCCGGAGGAAAACAAACTTTTCTCGAAAGAAGTGGCTCTATTAAATGGCCTTGATCATCGCATTGTTGTCAAAGTCATGAAAGTTTCCCAACCACCTCAAGATGAAAAATACGAAATCGATCGTGCTACAGTTTGGTACGATTTAGAGAAAGTTTACCGGGGTTTCACCAACTTTGACCGAAACAAAAGGGAATTTAGGTTGTCCCTGCAAGAAGCAGGCCAGACTTTAAGAAGGCGACATGAAAGGTCAACGGATGTGCAGGTCGTTAACCTCAAGGTAAGCCAAGCAACTGCCCTTGAAGAGTTTGATGCAAGGGTAGCTGCTGGGATGGAGGAAAGTTTCAAGCTCAAAGAATCAGTGACATCACCATCGAATGACGGGACAAACGCGTGTGCTTTTCTCTCGGTTGGAGTTGTAGAAAGCATCTTACACGACACCGAAACAGAGGCTTTTTTCGAAAATTTACTGAAAGCTGCGGAGGTTACCATTCTGTATTTACCGGAGGAAATCAACGAGCACCGCGACATGGGAAAGACTTACGACATACTAGAGGCATATGAAATTCTTCGTCGACAACAGATTATTAAATAACTATGCAGACGGAGTATTTAAGCATGAAGGAAGAGAAAAGCTTTTCACTAAACTATGTGCTCTTGGTGCCGAGCACTTCGTTGCAATTTACACTAGTGATCCATTTGTGCTGACCATTGGTTGTCATAAAGGGAAACTCTTAGGTCTTAGGTCTTAGCTTTCCAGACACCCTGATTTGTGATGAAACACAATATCTCATTCAGTTCATATTATGCTCATGCCAGTGAACTAGAACAGAGAAACAAAAGATTCTTAAACGCCAGAAATATTCTAAACAGAAAATATCAATTACAAGAAAGAGGAAAAAGTGCTATGCTGAATTAGAACCTGTAAAGAAAAAAACACGCGTTTGGATACATTGCATCGCAATTATAACAATGAAAAGCAAGACATTCTCAGTAGTCGTGCAGAAAAATATAAATCCATATCTACATCTACAAAAGATAATTTGTTGGGCAAAGGAAGACAGGCTTACCAAGAAATGGGAAGCACAAAAAAAAAAATTCTGGCAAGAAAGAGGACAGAAAGAAGCAATGCAAGACAGTTAAATGCTATTATGCACAATGACTTGAATTCCTGTAGGGCATATTTTTAAAAAAAGTGAGAGAAGGTCCAAGTTACATATGTTCTGCATGCAACAGACTTCTTTATAGGAAAACCGTTACAGAATTAAAGAAAGGCAAATACATCATTCAACATATTTTTACAGGAAAAGAGTCTCGTGACAATAAAGAATATATCTGTAATAAATGTTTCTCCAGAGACAGATCCTGTGTCAAGCTGTCCATAACAGATTATTCGTCGATGAAATTCCCTCAGAACTTAAATGTTTAGAAAAACTTGGGCAAATTCTCATAGCTCAGCAGCTTCTCTTTCAAAAAATAGTTATCATGCCCAAAGGTCAAATACGAAAGATTAAATTGGCTATTTGTAATGTGCCTGTAGATTGTGATCAAACATGCAATGTTTGCCAAGACCATCTGAAAGGTCAGGTATAATCATGCTAAAACTGAAAAGAAAACTTTCCTTTAGAGGTCATATTTATTTTCAAGCTGTGCGACCTGACATCATATACTCAATGCTCAAAATTGGCTGAGGGATAACAATCCTTTCTATGGCAGCATAACAATCAACATTGAAAAAATTGACATAAATCTCAGTGAACAACAGCTGCATCGACCGGTATCGCAGAGGTCGTGGGTTCAAATCCTGTACGGGCCTGAATTTTTTTAGGTCCTATTTTCAACTATCCGTTTCAGTAGTGTTCTTAACTGCGAGGATCTCTTAATTTCATTTCTTCATCGCAGTGCAAATATGAACAAGTGAACAATATGCTGAAATGTGTTCATTAATGGATGACCCCTGAACGAAAGGAGCTGATGATGACAACGAGGAAGAAATAGATGATCCTTTGAATAAGTTTAGGGCACCCACAAATGAAACATGTTTACAGTCTGTTCTTCCAGATTATCCTGCAACTCTAAATATACAGCAAATTAGCCATCCAATTAGTCAGACGGGAATGAAATTTTCGACATTGCGAGTGAAAATAAACATCCAGTTTCATTCATGACTGACAAACATTGTGAAGAACTGGCATTTCCAGTATTATTTCCAAATGGCAGATTTGGTTACACTGCAGAGAAATCAGTTACTTTATCACCTTCAAAATATTTCAATGCACGTCTTTCATACTATAGTAGCAGGTTTGCAATGAATCCTGAATATTTGTTCTTTGCACAGTTCATTATAGAACAGAAAATAGTGTCAGATAGCATCAACATAGCTCTCTCAGAACTTCATGGGCAGTCCCTTACAGCGTCAGATTTAAGATCCAACGTACAAAAGTTAAAGAATCTCGTTTTCCAAGAACAGGCCTATCTATTTCTGAGACATGTTCCAGGCTCCCACCCTATTGGCAAAAGGTTATGTATGAAGTTGTAGCCACGGTGAAACAGTTTGGCATTCCAACTTGGTTTATGACATTATCTTGTGCGGACCTCAGATGGCCTGAGCTGTTTTAAATTATTGGCAGAACAAAAAGCCTGAATTTCACTGATGCCCAAGTTGATACATTGTCTTATAATAAAAAGGTGATCTATGCTGAACTTAAACCCTTTTGGTGTTTTTTTCCCATTCAATGGCAGAGTTGACCATTTCAGGTTTTCTCATTTGCATTCAAGAACAAAGGATCTAACTTTGTGGTTCTTCTTAGCCAATCAGCATTATATAAACAAACATAAAATATAAAAGCCTACATTTACTGCAGTATTTGCACTTACTACACTCTTCCAGGTCATATCTCATTGGGAAGCTATATATATGATTTGGGATGCGATTTCGCAAAACTGCCTCTTCCTGTGCTCTTATTCTATGGGTATTCCAAACAGTCTCCCTGGAAATATCTAATTCTTTCTTATCCAGTGGAATCATCACATAGAGAAGAAGCATTCTGAAAATCAAAGGATCAAATGTAAATTATTGTTTAACAGAATGTTAGATAATCACTTGATATGATGAATCTGTCATCTCTTACATCACGAATAGTAAAAAAAACGATAAGTATATAATATTAGGTTTAAGATTTGGTTGTACACAGGCACAGATTCATTCATTGTCAATGTTTCAACTGTTTTTTTAATTAGACACCCAGCCTTCAGGAAAAAGAAGAAACCTTAAGGTGAAAATCTCACCGAATACCAAGCTGTACGTTTGGCAGTTTCAAATGGGCTTTGGAGGGAAGAATAACCTCTTTAGTCTTGACACTGCGATCACATACAATAAAACACCACCCGCGAAACGATTAGAATACTTTAAGCATTAGCATTTAAAATTGTGACACAAATGAACCTTGGTAAGAACTGTGAGTGCTAAAGTTTACTCTTAGTGGACATAAGTGTGTTTTGAAATTTCTTATCTTTTTCGTATACTCGTTGAGCAGTATACACTACGCTTTTTGAGAATTAATTATATACTGCATTAAATTTTTTAAAGTTATTTATGGTCAACTTTGAATCGGGTATACTTGATAACAGCACCAAAAATAAGTAATAGTAGAATGTCACTTGTTTCTTTTAATACTATCTGGGCGTAACTAATCAATAAATCGATTAATTGATAATAATTGAATTTAATCAATTTCAATTAACTGATTTTTATCAGACATTTATAAAATTAATACCTTTCCTATACTGTTGTGGTAATAATTTTCATTGATTTATCGATACTAATGGATATTAATTAGCAAATTTAATTGGTTAATATTGATTTATCTCCAATGATTGATTTTGATCAATTAGTTACACCGGGATAATATACAATAAATAGTTTTTACTCTAAAACATGTGGAATGTGATACCAAATTGTGCCAGAGATGCTAAACATTTCACAATTTGGACATGTCCTCACCCCAAACTGATGTAAGTGATAAATGTATTAAATACACCATTAATTATTTCCAAGATTGAAAGATGGTGGAGGGAACTGCACGAGAGAATGAATACATATTTCAAAGTCTTTTTAAGTTGGCTTAAGATTAATGGACGTTATGATCCTTATAATGAAACTGGCAGGTAACTACGATTTCTTTATATTAATTTATATTCATGTGCGTCAGCTCTTTAATACTGCTACCTCGCAGCCTCCTAGTTTTGCTCAGGCTGCTTGTTGGCAATAAATAAATCAATAAACATTATGCAGTACAACTGTCTTGGTTTTACTGCCAAAACCCTTGTTTTATGAAAGCCAACTTCAAATCCTCAGTTGAAGTTTTGGTTTTTAGATCTATCAATCACAAGTTAGGATAGAAACTATTTTCAAGTAACATAGGTTTGTTTACTGTTTGCACTAATCTCTATGTTAAGGGGTTTTAGTGAGTGATCCATACAACCAAAATGTGAAAAATATCGACTTTAGTCAGCTAGCTTCAGCTGTATTATAACTAAACACAAGCTTAAAATACGATTCCGGTTAACACAGCACTGTAACTCACCTTCTAACAACATTGACCGCAGAAGATGTCAGCTCACTGCCTTTACATTACTTTGCAAAAATAAGTCCCAGGTTCCTCAACCTTCATAACATACATGTTTGCGCCATCGTAAATAGCGTGATCATTTTGAAATCAGACATACGACAATCCTATCTTGTTGTGCACGCTGGTTATGACTCCCAGGAATAACAATCCGTCATCATGACCGTCGATGGTATCAGGGCCATGAAGAATTGTAGCGTGACCGCTGGATATATTTCCTGATCCTGGAAATAAGAGAGATCGGTCTAGTGATCTTTCTAGATATGCTGTTTATGTGCTGTTTATCTTTATGGCACTGACAACAAATCGATCGGCTAACGGGTCATATGTCTGTTCATCTGTTAGTAGGTACTCGTCTGAGCGAACATAAAAACTTGATCCCCAGTTTGGTAAAAGAAGAGTGCTGGGTTCTCCCGAGTAAAGGGAGTACTTAATATGCATCAACTCACAATCCCAAGAATTTTCAATCCCTTCAACAAACAGCTTCATGTCTTACGTTACAGTCGATATTGGGCACTTAAAGCAACAGATGTTTTCGTTGACGATGGCGACATCATGAGCGATAAGAAACTGGGGATAGAACGGCTTCAGGTTGCGGTTGCGACTGCGAGTTGCCATCCTTCAGCATATGATGGTAAATTCAAATTGTCAATAAAGCTCTCGATTCTTTTGCATTGACCGTTCATGTCGAGCTTAAAGGAAACGCAAGATTTACTTTTGGTTTCCTTTATTGAGAGAGTCACAAATTTGCCATTCTATACGACATAAATAAACGAAAATATCCACCATTTCCGCACGACAACGACAAGGAATACTGAATTTGGTTTCCTTTATGGAAAGGGTCACAAATTTGCCATTCTTTACAACGTAAATAACTCAAAATATCCACCATTTCCGCTCCACAGCTACGAGGAATACTCATCAGACAATCTCAGCGACAAAGAATGCATAGAGGAATTTCGTGTTGAGAAAAACGATTTGCCTGTTTAGACAGGCAAATCTTTCCGTTGCTCACAGAGGTCTGTGTTTAGTGGAACGGATGGCCTGTGTATGCTGCTTAAACAGCTTCCGTATCCTTGTCGTTATAGTGACATGATACATGTACCAAGGTTTGGCCGACCTGTTCCAGAAATAAGCATGATGACCAATGCTGTTTTAGACTGGATTAACATCGAAGATGGCCACCACCTTACTGATTTTAATCAGCCCTTCCTCTACTGTGCTTCTCTGCGAACACATGCAAATGCAATCCATCAAGAAGGTGCGGTGTTGAATAACTGCTGGGGTTTCATTTATGGCACTGTCCGCTCTGTTTGCTGCCCACTCCAAAATCAACGAATTGTCTGCAATGGGCACAAAAGGGTACATGCGTTGAAATTCCAACCTACTGTGACTCCAAATGGTCTCATTGCCAACTTATATGGCCCAGTATGTGAGTGGAAATATACTTGTATTCAAAAAGTAATTATCAAATTAAATCCATTGTCCTTTCCGGGGTTATCGCAGTTTTCATCTGAAGGAAACACTATTTTTGGTGTCATTTATTGTATTTTTGCGTAGATTATGATATGTGCTCCTGATGTTTGTGAAACGACAACTGAAATGATAAAATTACAGATAAGAGTACCACAGGACATAAATGCAAGAGATGTATAAGGTATCATCAGTTCAGCGAACTAAACGATTTTTTCCAGATTTCAGCATCTTTTGACAAAGTCAAATATGTATTCGTATATTTCAAAAGGCTATCGTGATGTGAACAATCATCGCCAGGCAGAAAATACTCCTTTCACCATAGGCACGTTTGCATTAGAAAGATCTTCATTACCCAACTGCAGACTCGAATATGGAAATGGTGTATTATCCTGAGATTGAATATGATAGTGATTCAAAGTCAGAATCTTTAATGATCTGATGTCATATGGAATGCAGAAGAATGATAACAACACTGGTACACAGCTCAATTTAAGCAATTACAACTCTCTGCATCCACTAATATATTTGATCTGTCTTTCCAAGCAGAAAAGTGACAAGAGATTCCAAACAGCTGAATTTCAGATACAGAGTTTCAGCAAACACAACTGAGAATTTCATAGTTAACGCAGTTGTACTAAATGACGAAATGATAAGAATAAAGCAGATAAAATAAATAACACCAGTAAAAGCAAGTAAAAAGAAGAATGAAGGAATTGTTACTTCAATCTATATGGCTCTACGGAACCATCATCATCCAAACCGAAATTTGAAGTAGGTGATAAGGTTTGAATATCTCTATACGAGAGAAGGACATTCGATAAAGGATATCCTCCAAACTGGACAGAGGAGTTATCTACTGCAGATAAAATCCGATACACTGATCCAATCACTTTACAAAATAGAAGACTTGAATGGTGAGGAAATTAAAGGAAGTTTCTATACTGAAGAATTGTTAAAAGCAAAACAAGATGTATTCAGAATTGATAAAGTCATTTGGAGAGATTACCGAAAAAAACAAACTCCCAGACTCCCAAACCAAGCATTAAACAAATGGTAAAGCAGAGTGACTAAATAATCACAGACGATAAACCAGTCTCTACAACAAAAAGCATAGGACCAATCCCAAAACCACGAAAAAGTGTCAAACAGATGGCGCAAGAGTATGAATATAATATCATCCCTCCACCAATTGAGCTCAGAGATGGGTCGAAACCAACCGAAATAGAGGAAAAGAGCAAAGCTCTTTAAGGATGTACGAAATCATTTGAAATTGGTGTGAGAGACAATGAAGATCCATTAAAACAAAAACAAAGAAACAAGCAAAGCCATCCAATACAGCCTCATTAAACAGGTCTGAAATTTGTGAAGAGATACTTAACAGACTCAAAACTAAATGTATCAAGAAAAATGGAAAGCAAGCAATAAAATGCCTGAAAAAGGCAACCACACATTGAAATTCAAAATGAAATTTTTAATATAGAACAGAAAACGAAAGAGCACGTAAAGTCCCGAGTAAAGTGGCGAAAATCTGGCGTAGAACAGCCTGAGAAACACAGACAAACAACTGGGGAATACTGGCAAAAACAAAGCAAAGTAACAAAAGAAAAATTAACCACAGAGAAGATGAGACAGTGGACAAAAAAGAAATAGTTAAGAAAATTGCCATTTGAATTTCGTTTGAGTTAGCGAGCCGCAGAATTTTAAATATTATTTAGCCTTCGTTCTGAAGAAGGTCAGGTCTCAGTTTATTTCAGTTTAAATGGTTTATTGGTTAAAATTGTAACCGAAAAGTTTTGCTGCCGTCAGCAGGAAGCATAATTCCTCTTGCATTTTAGTCAGTCCTCGTTTTACTGTCCAATTATAGTAAATTGAAATTAAATAATGAATGTGGTCCTTTTTTGAATTGATCGCGTAAAAATAAATTTTGTTCACTCTAAATTATTTTTGCTGGCATCGCCAACAAACGAAAAATTTAATGTAACTGGTGTTCAATTCACTCATTGTTTTGTACGATTGGACTTTTGTTTAAATTATTTGATTAGAGGTTCACTAAAGATTCGAGACAAGATGAGGGCACGCATCACAAAATATAAACAGAAGATAAACAAACTGTGTGCATGCCAAAGACGACCAATGGTTTCCTTTTATTCGAAAGTGCCCTTTCCCATAGATTGGCATAAAATTTAATTAATTATTTATAATCATTTTAATTGTACATATTGTAAAGCGCTCCGAACTTTAGAGTGAGCGCTATAGAAATCCCCTATTATTATTATTATTATTATTATTATTATTATTATTAAAAAACAATTGTCTGTGTCATAATATTGGTGTCTCATATTGCTTGTATTGTGTTTGTACTCTGTGGGTTTAATTTTTTTTTCTATTTTTTGTTTTTATACATTCATATATAAGGTTGGTTATATTGTCAATGCAGGCCCTCATTAAAACCAACTTCCAGCTGACCTCAGCCAGCCTGGTTTAATACAACCAATGAATGAACAATCTTTTTTATTACTTAACGTTTGCACTAGACTGTTGCTTCCTAAATTTCTTGAAAATAATGTAATGTTATCTTTACATTTATCGCACAAAGATGAAAGTGATATGCCTGAATATGAGTGTGGCAATGATTTCTCTCTCCAAAGTGGGCAATGGGAATATGATTCAGGTGAGTAGACTTAAATTGACAAGGTTATATAAATGTGAAGTTTATGAATCTGTTGATTCATTGGTGTGATTTTTTTTTTAAATTTAAATATCTGAAAATGTCTTTGTGAATGCCAGCTTGCACTCAAAATTTAAGCCTTTACACCCAAACATCACTATACATATTCTCCATACTGTTCTCTAAACATTTTCTAAGATGCTGACAAGGAGAATTTTTCAATCAATCAAGAGCTTCTTTAGTTAGTGATCATTTCCCTTAATCCTCTTACCTTAAGGTTTGATCCAGAGATGTTGCAAGGAAAAAATTAGATGCTATATACAGTCATTCATAGGGTGAAAGGCTTAAATGAAGATGTACTTTTCCATGCCATATTTGAAAAAAAAATTTTTATGCCATCTTTATTTTTTGGCATTGTTTCCAAATTCATAAATGGCATTAGGACACACAATGTTCCCACCAATTTTATAATAAAGTTCGGATATAACACGCACTGTCATTGGTTGAAAGAGCGTGCTCTATGAGAGTATAGAGCATAGAACTGAGCTAAAGCTGTCACGCCATCTGCCAATTCGTAACATAGCGGACCAATTCCCTAATTATTCACTCGGGTTTCTTTTCGAGCTAGACGTCCTCTACGACCTAGAAAACGTTAGCGTCGATAGATTTAGAGGATATTGTCAATAATAGTGGGAATTACCCGTTATGTGAAAGTGAGGTTTCCGACGAAGTTAGTTATGAAAACAGTGAGCGACGCGACAACATTAACAAGTAAAGATTTAAAAACATGTCAAGTGATGCAATTGATGGCATAATAACAAAGGCAGAAACAAAGAAAACCAAAGAATCCACTAAATGGGCACTCCGAGTTTTTGAAGGTGAGTTTTTTATTGTAAAAATATAATAAATACAATATGAAAACCTCGAAAAAGGTGTGCGCTATTTGCTAAAATTTTTCGCAAAAACGATTAAAATAAGTGGATGAATTAGCTGGCGCACACACGTTTACAACCAACAACAACATATTTTTCTCAAAAACGTACACTAAAACACAAATAAAAATAATTTTTCATAACTCATGCCAGTTTATGCCGTTTTCTTTTAATAGCTTGGTGTACTGAAAAAAGGCTTTCGAAGAACCTCCACGAAATGAGCAAGAAAGAGCTTGACAAAAACCTCCGCTACTTTTACGCAGAAGCAAGAACAAGAGGTGGTGCATTATATTCAAGATCGTCCCTCCTTGGATTGCGAAATGCGAACGAAAGATATCTCAACAACCCACCATTTAATAGAGGGATTTCAATCACCAAAGGGACCGAATTCCAATCATCAAACAAACTCCTGCAGAGTATGATAAAGTTAAACAAACGCGAGCACAAAATACAAACCTCCCATTCCAGCAGCAGACCTTCAAAAGTTAAAGTCGTCAAATACAATCCGGGGAGACAGTCCTTTGGGTCTTCTACGAAATGTCTGGCTTAACATCAGCTTGTACTGGTGTCGTCGAGGACGCGAAGGTCAACGACAATTGAAGAAGCAAAGCTTCCAGTTCTTGTTTGACGATAATGGACGGGAATACGCTTCAATGACCCATGACGAAGCTACTAAGAACCATCCAGGAGGGATTGAAGACATCTCCAGTGTAGAAAAGGAGGCCAGGGTGTATTCAACATCGGAGGATCCACTTTTTGATGGCCTTAACTGCATTCTTTCAGTACCCAAAACGAGCCGTGAAACCTGAAGATAACGTTTGGTATGAAAACAAACCGCTGGGGGTCAACAAACTTGACGGAATGATGAAAGAAATTTCCAAACTGGCGTCTCTTTCAAGAATCTACACAAATCATAGTGTCAGAGCGACTGCAATCACGCTGTGGTCCGACGCGCAAGTTCCATCGCGGCACATAATGGCGACCTCTGGTCATCGCAGTGAGGCAAGCCTTAAGAGTTACAACACTCGCCCATCGAGTGAACAGCTAAGGGCTTGTTCAGATATCCTCTCTGGTGCAATGAGTGGTGGACCACGACAGCTTAATTCCCCTAATGCAATCACCAGTTCAGGAAATCCTCTCGCGGCTGTAAATTCGACCGTTGTTCATTCACAGAACAACACAGCGCAGCAGTTTGTCAAGTATCAGCCACAAGCTTTAAGCAGTTTGTTTTCAAATTGTCAAGTTATAACATCCAGGTTTTCATGGGCCAGGATTCGGCCGGATTTCATTGATCATGTTACTAAAGATGCTGATTTTGGACGTGGAAATTACATTCAGTTTGCATTCGAATTCACTGTAAGAGTAGCTCGTTTCGCTTTGAGATTCTACGTGATCGCTTTTGATGGCTTGACATATTGACAGCTCTTGTCTTGTTCAACCCATCAGATTAGTTTTACCATTCTAACAAAGATTCTGATTGGCTTATTGTAGCGTGCTCTATGAGAGTATAGAGCATGCTGACGACATTGCTGTTCTCTTTGGAAATAAAGTTTGTTTTGAAAATTGAAAGTAATGCTTAGGTAATTTAACGGATTCTTTATTATAAAGAAGTGAAGAAGAAGTCAGTCAGAAGTGGGAAGAAACACTCGACTACGTCTCGTGTTTCTCCCTACACTTCTTTCGTGCTCTAGCCGCTTCCTGCGTGCTTTATAACAGAACAGAGCACAGTCAAGGCTTCTCTATTTGTTAAATAACACCAGTCAGAATTATTGATTTAACTTTAGTAAAATGAGTATCAAATTTTACTGTACACAGGAAAATTTGACCAAAATGACAGTTAAATATGTGGACAAAAGACACTTTGAGTCACGCGTCACGCAATTGTACGCGTAGGTTTTGGATTGATCAGATTTCACTTTTTTGATTGACAGTTACTCTTATTTTGTAATTCGCACGCGGTCAGGTTTTCGAGGTAGTTGTCGGAGTCCACGGCTGTTTCAAAACGCCCGCCAGTGGAAATTTAGTTCGCGCATGTCAGATTGACATTTTCAATGTGAAACCGCTGAAAATGTACGTTTAACGGCTCAACAAGAAAGAGCCCACTGATAACTAGGTCGCAAAAAGTATATGCGCAAAGCCCAAGGAAATAGCTAACTTATGCGCAGACATTGTATTTTGCTTCCCTGGTTAATGTTCTCCTTGGGAAGATTGCGTGTGCGGGATAGTTAACTATGCGACGGCTTAATGGCATCTTGTTTTGACGCGAGATGACTTATCGCCTTTCTGAGGTCTTCCTATTTTCAGGCAAGATTCTGATTGATTCGAATTTTTCTTTCAATAAAGGAACAACTTAGGCTTTACGTCTCTCCTTTGCCATCAGTTTCTTTACCATGACGTTTTAATCCGAATTGTTTTGAGCGGTGTAATCTGCGATTACACATCACCACCGAAATAGTAAATATGGCGTCCATCTCCCCTTTGACCTCGAACTAATGCCCCTAAACTACGCGAATTTATCCTCTGAATGATCTCATGCTTACCCATGGGCTAAACAAAGAATACACGATATATGACAAACTGATAAAATGTCCACAGCCTTCTGTTACGTGCAAGAAAGTCGAACTACGTGCGTGTGATTTCCTCCCCGAAAAGTGTATGTCATCGATCTGTCACGGGGAGCTACGCGAAAGCACGGACAAGACGTTTCTTTCGGTCAACATTTCAATCATGATCACGGATAATAAACCTTACAATTATATGTTACCATTTGTGCTTTGATCTGATAGTTAAATCGTTTTTCTTGGCCGTGATTAACATGGTTTTTGGCGAATATTCCCTCCCCCTTCAAATGGAATGAACTACACGCAATAACACAAGAATGCAAATACTCCCGCACCCCTGAAGAAGCGATCGAGAGAGATAAATAGACACCCCTTCCTGAAACAAGGTAGAAACCCTAAGGGTGTACCCTTCTGAAGCAATAAAAGGCCGGAAAAAGGAACTTCGGAACATATCTTGAGTCAACTTAGAACTGCGTTGCTTAATTCAAATTTAGTTTACAACTCGGTTCGATTAGTGCATTCAGATGGCTAACTTTGGTCTCTCTGAACATCAACAAATATTGGAAAAAATTTGCCGAATTTGTGGAGAGCGATTGAAGAAGGCAAAAGATAAGTATGAGAACAGTTTTCTTTGCGCTGATAAGACGGAGATTATTTTCACAGCCTTTGGTGTCAAAGTTCGTAAAGATGACCTTGACATGTGCCCTCCTAAGTTCTGCCACAAGTGTTACAAGCTTGCTTTAAGAGGAGGCACACGCCTTGCAATCAATGTGTGGCCTCCACACAAACGCACTGGAAACTGTAAGATCTGCAGTTTCTTTAAGGATCAACAGAAACCTGGTAGGAAGAAGAAGACTAAACCTGGAATAAAACCCAGAGAGGACTCAGCTGAACCCAAGGAACAAGTGGAAATGGTGGAAGGAATGTCTGGCACTTTAAGCTTCCAACCTGACCCAGCCTCACTCTCATTCTCTGAGGAGGTAAAGAATCTACAAAGCTTTAGAGGATCAGAACCTCTTTACCCAGAACAGTTTGTTGAAAACATCAAGCATGAGTATATGTGCCCAATTTGCAAAGAGGTACTTGATCAACCAGTTCAGACAAAATGTCGAACTCCACACATATTTTGTGCTAGTTGCTTATCATTTTCTTTCGAAATGTGTGGATCCCTTTGCCCAGTGTGCCGAACTGTCATTGTAAATCCTAATGAGTTCATTGAGCCAGCCCCTTTTGTTCTTCGCACAATACTTTCAGAGTTAGATTTTCGATGTCCTACCTGTAAACACACAGTAAAACTTCACCAACTACCTCAGCATCAAGAATGTTGCATTCAAAGCCCTACAACAGCACCCACACACATCTTAACCCCTTCACAAAGATCAGTTCCAGTGACACCATCCCTCCTTGCGCCAGTGAAACCCATACCTGCAGCAGAGGAAAAGGGACCAGCACCAGTAAATGTACCATCACTACAAGCAGAACCTACAACCACCACTGATACAAATACAACCTGCAGACAACAACTGACAGTTGATCAACTACTAACCAGCCCAAAGGAAGCTTACACATCCCTAAAGGAGGAAGTTGGATTGTTCATCATTAGACAGTTCCTTTCACAGTCTCAGGATGGGGCAACCATTCTCCTCAAAACAGGTGGCCAGGTAATAAAATATTTTTTTAAGTTAAAAATTAAGACATTCATTTTCAAAACAAAAGATAACAATTCATTTTCAGCCCTTAGAATTAGTGAAAAGGACCAGGGCAAGGAAAACAACTGATGAGGTAACAAGGAAAACTGCTAGAAATAGATCAAAGGTAGTAGCAGAGACCAGGACAGCTGTCAGTGGTGGTGCAGCTGGTACCCAATTGAAAGATGAACTGCGTGCAATGGGCAGACTGGAGAGGGAGGCACTGCTGAAGGAGGCCTTGGGAAAGGAATTTAAAATCACCATTCCAAGAGGTGACATCCTGGCAATGAAAGCAGACCTTGGTGAGACATGGTACAAAGTTAGAAAGCTTAGGAGGTAAGAGAAACATGAACAAAAAAAATCATCAAAAACCCCAAAGATTTTCCAAAGACATTAGATGTCAGTAACAGTAACTGTTTTGAGTTTGTATTCAAATTTGCCAACTGCCTAAATACCCTCAATCTGCTTACAAAATTATGATAACTATTATTTCTCTACAGATGGTTTGATCAATGGGGACTATCCTCAGAAAGTGAAATAAGTCAACGAAAGCAAGTTCAGTCCATCACTGACCCTGCCAACTTGGTTTGTGAAATGGTCCCATTTGAATTCAAAAAACCAGGTTGCCATCCAGAGGTCAGGGAAGCAGAGTTTGGTTATGTTACAGACCTGAACCAATTCATACATCTTCATCTGAGTGAAAATGAAAAGTATGATATAAAGAAATAGTTAAAAAAAGTAAATGCAATCACTAGATTAATGATTGAAATTAAACAAAGTTAGCTGTTGCCCATTGCAGTGAATTATAGTCTTATTATAGTTGGTTATCATTTTAGGAATGGAAGGCTGACATGGAACAATGCAATCCCAGAAAATGCAGTGCACATAAAACTTGGAGGAGATGCTGGTGGTGGGTCATTTAAAATGGCCTTCCAGATTGCTAACTTGAGGCATCCAAATTCTAAAACCAACACAGTGGTCTTTGCCATGTTCCATGCAAAAGATAGTTGGGCTAATTTAAAGACAGCCTTAATGAAATATAAAGAACAAGTAAACACCTTGAAAGAAGCAACCTGGGCGTAAGTGAAAAAAAAATTTACCACACTTTTAGTTAGTCAGGAGAATAGAGACTTGAAATAGCATAATATTAATTAAATTCTTTTCATTTTGCCCATTTCTAGAGGTAAAAAGAAAGTGGTTTTCCTGTTTGGTGACTATGAATTCCTATGCAAGTTATTTGGAGTAGCTGGTGCCTCAGTATGATCCAGACAATAATTCACATATACAAATAATTATGATTTAGCAATTCAGTAAAAGAATGTAAATGTAGCCTCTACTCTACATAACTATTTCTGTGAAACAGGTTTCCACCATAAGAATTGTATTTGCAGGCAAATATCCATGTCTTTGGTGCAAGATAAATCATGAAGTAATGCAAGTCTCTTGCCATAAACGTGGGCATGCTGAAAAACGAAGTCTTGAAAACATTCAAGAAGATTATGATAAGTTTGTAGTAGATGGCTCTGTTACAAGTCGACAGAAGTTTTATCACAATGTGATTCACGAGAAACTGCTGGACATTGAATTGGACAAAGTAAGATACATGAGTTTATTTTATTGCTTTGAAGAGGGACTTACAGGTCGCCTAACTAAATGGTTGTCTATTTCAGGTTTGTGTTCCTGGACTTCACACTAGCTTGGGTGTGTTTAAGAAACTGTTTGACGAACTAGAGAACCAGTGCTTTGAGCTGGGCAAAAAAATTCAAATGGTGCTAGCAGGAGACAGTGAAGAGAATGATGAGAAAATCCAGGCATTCAGAGCTGCCCAACTACATACCAGACAAGCACAACAATTTAATGAAAAAGCCAATTATTTACAGGAGTTGCTGAATTTACAAAGTCTGCATGCTAATGTTGATATCATGCCTGCCTACTTTACACTACTACAGGAGGAGATAGACAAACTCCTTGGAAATGCAAAGGAGGAGGTAAAAATAATATATTGGTGCTTTCCAGTATCATAGCTGTACAATCCTCCAAATCCATTATACATGTTTCAAACCCGTCTTAATTTTTTAGTTAAAGAAGTTATGATTTTATTTTATAGATCATTTATTTGAAATATTACAATGGCTCAAATTATCAAATTATAGCAACTAAGCAGTAAGTCAAATAACCCAGATTTAAATAGTATTATCTCAACATTATAGGAAAAGCTTGCAGATGAACAAATGGAATTGGCTGCCTTTGAGAAAGCCAATGGACCACTATCGGTTCATTTGGATGAGGTTCTCAAGAAAATGAATGTTGAGAGACAAGCTTATCATGGAAAATCATTCATTGGTAACCATGTACACACTTGCTGCAAGGTAACACAAATTCTACCCTTAGAGTAGGAATTTGTTGAGTCACAAAATTTCATTGAATTGTTGCATTTGTTTTTTGGTAGGAAGACAACATCATTAAACTATGCAGTGCTGTGCTGACAAAAACAGAGGAGCTGTGTCCTTCCCTCCTTTCTCAAGCAAGAGAAATTAGCGTGAAATTTGAACAAGTTTTTAAGTTGTTTGCTGCTTGCCACTTTGTCTATGACAGTGCAGACTATCTCAATGATGGCAAGATTGATAAGCTAGGTAACTGAAAGAAAAAACCTGACTTTCATGGAAAAACATGAATACAGTAATAAGATCATGTCTTAAGTCCACCTTTTCTTGTTTTCTTGTTGCAGAGGAAGACATCACAAATTTTCTTCAGTTCCTTAGGGAAAAATTTCCAGACATGACAATCACACCAAAGCTGCATATGCTAGAAGAACATGTTTGCCCTTTTCTTCGACAATGGCACATGGGCCTTGGATTCTACGGTGAACAAGGGATTGAAGGAATACACTCTGAATTCAATACCCAGTCCCAGCATTTTGACCATGTGAAGAAAAAGGACACGAGATTGCGTCAAATCCTTGTCAACCATCACATTGCCACGAGTCCGGAACTAGCAGGGAAAGCTCCCAAACCTAAAGAAAGAAATTTAAAACTAAAAGCGAACGAGTAAAACTCTTTCCTTTTCAATAGCAATGTATCGGTTCGATGACTAAGAACGAGTACTATGTGTGTAAATATAGTGTAATTTATTTGCTCAACTTCTAATTTAGACGAATAAAAGTGTTACTACAATCTTTGGAACCAAAACTAAGCCTTTCCAGTCGTTTACAGACTGTTTCACTTGAAATTCAGTACCTCCGAGATTCAAAATGGAGTCACATAACGGCCGATCTTAACATATTAAAAGCGCCTCGAATGGAGTCTTAAACAATTCGGATTAAAACACTTACCTCTGTCGGTTGTTCAGTAAGGTTTCAAGTCTTCTCTTTTGACTCTTGCTTTGCTGGAAAAAATTCGAGCCTTTTCCAAATTGAAATCAAAGTTTTCAGTTGATTTAATAGGGTGTGCTTGTTAGACTCCACCATAGCAACGTGTTTTCGTCGAACACAGGCAAAATTTGACCGATTTTACTCAAATTTTCGACGGCAAATGCCTCTTCCATGTGTAAGTATCCGCCATGCTAAATTTCACCCGCATACATTAGATACGCAGCAAGATTTCATTGGCTAAACTATATCTTAGCCCAAGGGGTTGCCATGGACGCTAGATTTATGCAAATGCATAATTTTGTATTAACCAGAGAAATAATAATTAACTCGATCTTTCCTGTAGACCGCATGCGCGAACTAAATTTCCACCGCGAAACAGCCGTGGAGTCGTCGCTAGAGTCGAGATGAAAATGTAAAACTAAAGAAACCGTGAAATTAAACCGTGAGTTTTCTAAACCGAAATACCGTTTGTTGTCTTCACAACAATATGAGTAACTGTTCTTCTAGTGCAGATGGTTATATGTATTTGTCAATCTACTTATAATGGTGCGATTGAAACACACATTATGCCATCAAAAAACAAAGGGTTTAGAAATCTGATCATATGATGAATCATTTAAATAGAAACCTTGTTACTAGTAGCTAACATATCTTCGATTTTTACATTTTCATGCAGAATGTTTTAAGGAAAGCAGAGGCTCAGAAGGTGCTGATGCTATCACAGATAGCAAACTGACATCTGTAAACCCTGTGATAATCTCTACTTTCAACTATACAGGTAAATTGTAGATAATTTGAAGTTAACGGTTAGTTTGTGTCTTCATAATCATCCCATGCTTATTGTTATCAGTTTGGAGTTGGAACTCTATCTGCTGCTTGTATAAAGCTGTATGTATATATGTATTAGGCTACATTGATTTTAACTGTAGACCTGTAACAAATTAGGTAAAGATGCTTATCTTGACTTTTGTATTTTATTTTATGCAGAAAATTGCAATGAAAGCAGAACTGGAGGGGAGGGGAATGCCACTGAAGATGAGCAAGAATTTACTGCAAATCTACCTGCTTTTTATGGTGTAGTACTTTCCGGTAAATCCTGGTTTGTCTTATTCTTCATTAACATTCACCACTTGGTAAAAGCAATCATTCTTCTTTACAAAGTTTATTCGGGGTTGTAATAGTAGTAGTATTTATGAGTCAGTTTTATATTGACTTTCAACTAACAAGGTATGTTTAAAAATGTTTCCTCATTGTGTGAGCTGATGATTTCATGCTGATAGCCTCTCAAATTCATTTTCAAGAAAAGTTTGTAACCCAAATTTTCATTTTAAAACTGATGCATCTTTTCTAGTAATCCCATGGTTATCCTAACCAGTACCCACATGGAACTCTTGCTGCTTTTTCTTTCCTATCACCTTCACTTAATCAATTGTTGTAATTGTGTATTTCTTTTTTAAGTTTCAACCCGCATCGCTTACCGAAAATATATCGCCTTTTTTTACCCGTAATTGTGGTGTTGAGAAATTTCGATTGCCGCAGTCACACCCACTACCGAGTATAATACCCAGAACGATGGGTTTCATTGTTACCCCACATTCAACTATTGAACAGGTTGATGATAAATTGCATAACATATTCATTCGAAAGCTTTTCTGTGTAGGCAGAACTTCTTATGATAGAATTTGCACAATGATGTTATTTCATCTATCTTATGCTTTCCAAGTGATTTGTCTACATGATTGAAGTTTAAAACACTCCTCTTTTTGAAGCTCATATATAATATATTTTAATATTAATTAGATATTTCTTTGATGAAGATCTGAATCTTTAAAAAGGATTTTAATAAACCACTCTGTGGAATAGTCCTCACATGACCAGTAATATCAATGCTGAATTAAAAACTGTTTGACATTAAAACATAAGAACCATTTGAAGTAAATTTTACCATGTACCAATCATCATGAAGTTTATTACAAAAAATAATAAACATCCATTGATTGTTTCGCACTGTCCACATATGATTTAAGTGCTGCATTGTTATCTTCTATAAGATTACCCATATTTTTTATCTTCTATCCTATTCCCGTGTTGATATTACCTGTCATATTGATATTACCTGTCATCCTTCCACAACGAAACATTATCATCAGTATATTGACTCTGCTCCCAAGCGTCTCCAGAAGATGTTGTTGCGCTTACAGCATTACAGCCTTGATGTAAAGTACCAAAAAGGAATCTCGATGGCTATGTCTGATCCCATGTCCTAAGCTATCTTGACAAACTTTCTCCAAAGTTTTGCAATGAGCTCAAGGAGATAGTGCTTGTGGAGGATCTTCCCATTTCAGGAGCACAGTTGAAAGAATTCAAGGAAAGGACTACCTTGGATGACAACCCTCAGATCCTTATGTCCACTGTCCTAGAAGGTTGGCGTAATACTCTGGATAAAGTTCCAGCTGAGGTCAAGCCATACTTCCAGTTTCAAGATGACATCACAGCCCAAAATGGTTTGTTGTTCAAGGGTGAGCACCTCATTGTATCAGCCAAGTTAAGAAAAGAATGATGAAAAAGGTCCGTTTGTCCCATCTTGATATCGAGGGTTGTCTTCGACGAACAGCCGGGCATGAATGCTGAGTTTAAAGATTTCATTCTCAAATGTAATATCTGCAGTTCGTACAAGCCAGCACAGCCTCAAGAACCGCTGATGCCCTATGAAATCCCATCAAGGCCTTGGCAAAAGGTCAGTACGGATCTCTTCTTATTTGACCAGCGCCACTACCTGATCACTGTGGAGTACTACTCTTCTTTCTTTGAGGTGGATAAGCTCAATACGACAGATTCCAGAACTGTTATTGAGAAGTTGAAAATGTAGTTTAGCCAACATGGAATTCCGGAGATAGTCAATTCTGACAATGGACTGCAATATGCTTCTGCAGAGTTTGCAAAGTTTACGAGTGCTGGCACTTTCAAAATATTACTACCTCTCCACAGAATCCACAAAGCTACAGAAAGGTTGAGTGAAAGTCTCTGAAAACATCATGAGGAAGGAAGTACATGCAAAGTTTGACCCATATCTTACTCTGCGGAAATTGGTTCATCCCCAGTGCAAAAGCTGTTCAGCTGGAGAACACACAATTTCTTACCACTGTCAAGTAAACAACTAGAGCCTAAGTCAGGTCCCCCACAGGATGCGCAAGAAAAGCTGATAAATTCTAAGCAAAAGCAGGCTTTCTACTACACCCTGAAAAGTAAAGCACGACCTGAGTTGCAACCGCGACAGACCGTTAAGATGAAGAGGCCCTATGAATCCACCTGGACGGAAGCTGTTTGCAAGAAAATGATTGACCCACATTCTTATGTGGTTGTATCGAGTGGTGAAACCTGCCACCAAATCGCCGACTGCTGTGAATGGTGCCAGTATCTGATACTCTGCTCGTTGCAAAACAAGCAGGCGAGCCTCTGCGATCAGTGCCCCTGTCAGATTTCCCCCCAGCTGCAAAACAGCAGCTGAGCTCCTTCAATCAGTGCGGACCCCCTACCTGTTGTGAAACCTGCTGCTGAACATGTGGAACTTGTGCCTCCTTCTACTGTTACAAGGAGTGGTTGTATTTTCAGACGACTAACATGTTTCCAAGAGTTGGTGACTTAGACTTAACGCTTTTTGGAAGCTTTGTTTCTTAACACTGTTGTTTATTTTTCTCACTAAAGAACTCGGTTGCAGTTTGCAAGAACTCATTTAAGACACTATCTTTACAAAGAGGAAAATGTTGTGATACTGCTTAAATTAGCAAGTATTTCTGTATCACATGACTTATTGTTAGTCCTCTTTCCGTCAGCTGCAATTAAAGTTGTTGGGTTGTGTTTATGCTCGGTGTCCTTACGCTGATCGTAACTATAGCACTTATTGGGTCTTCTACATCGATCACCTTATTACCTTCCATATCAAGCCCCCTTAATACATCCAAATTAAAGACTTTATCGTTAACATCTTTCCTATTAACCAAATCTTCGTCGCTATTGTCACTTCTATGATAATCTGGTATCAACAACCTGCTTTTCAATGTTTCGGGTAACAGCTTGTCTATGTCTATTTTCTTATCTGTGATATCTTTCATCTGCCTCAAGGTTACAGCTTCATCATCATATTGTGCTCTACTCAAGTCATAAATGATCTTACCATCAGCATCCCATCTGTTGCGATTTCTTAATTTTAACAATTGGTTGTCATCACTTTTTTTTTTGCATGTTGTGTCACAAAATGCCTTGTTGACAACATCATTATTTGAAGCAGTTTCTCCTTTTGGACCCTATGGACCTCTCCCTTTGGACCAGTATCTCCCTTGTCACCTTTGGTCCTGGTGGCCTGCTGGTCCTTTAACACCTTTCCCAGTTATATCTATTTTGCTATGATTTCCACTAAACATACCCTGTTTTATGAATTTCTCATTATAAGCATAATCGGTATAGGAAAATACTTTTAGGATGTTTAATATGTCTTTCTCCTACTGCGTTCATTCGTATAATAGAAACAATAGTATCCGCATAATATACTCATTAAACCCTGGTACTTTGTGCTGATGTAAAAATAATTAACTGCCAGTCTACTGGATACTTCTATCACTTCTTCTTGACAATTTAACCAAAAACTGTCAAAATATTCTATTATATTCTTTTTAATGTTCATAACCACCCAATGTGTAACAGGACCAACACTATCATCAAGATTAATAACATAGTACCCTGTCTTCTGTTTATTAGTTATTTGATCTCTGGAGAATACACTAATAAACTGCTTTATCTATTGTAACTCTGCATGCCATTACTATTTGATACCTTCAACAAAAGAGGAAAACAAATGTTTGCAAGTAATGTACCAAGGAATCCACCACTCTGTTTCTTTGCTGGTTTGATGGCAAAAGGAATTCCCTGTCAGAGGGCCTCCTTTAGTTTATTACTTCGGCTACCAGTATCATTATATCTCCTTTTGCTTAAGCGTATCAGTGTATAAATTTTATTTCTATAGTATTTGTACCTAACTTTGTCTCCACTAGCATATAATTTATTTCTAACCTTAATTGCCACCTTATTCCCTTAGTTATCCAAGGTTTAGATAGCTGCTTTATTAGATAATTTTAAGGGGACGTGTTTGTTAACAGTTGTATTATACTTGTAGTAAAACGATGAAACAATTTGTTCACACAATTTGTTTTATTTGCAATTATTCAATTCCAGTCAACTTCAGACAGCTCATTGTTAAAGCGATCAGCAGAGAATCTTGAATAGTCACATATTTTTAACTTGTTGAAGTTTATCTTTTGCTGACGTTGTAATACAGAACTATGAGAAATGATCATTAATATCAGAAAAAATGTTTCCGCTAGCGTGGAGTTTGTCAGGATCGTTAACGAAGATGTTATCAATCAACGTAGCAGAAGTTCTATGAACGTGCACTGGTTTGTCCACTGTTTGAATAAGATAACAGCTTCAAAGAGAGAGTAAAAAAACCTGGCTTATTTGAGATGATTCACACTTGAGTAGATCTACATTACCAATCAGGAATTGAAGTACCCTTATCAGATACAGTTGGAAAAGGTTCAAACCAGAAATTATCTTTCTATGTTAGAAAGGCTAATTTCCAAAACTGAAAAGCCGGCTAACTCGGATCATTGCCTCCGACTTTGCAAATTATCCGATCATTGTATGTGTTTCCACCCGAAAGACAGGCCAGATGTGAAATACATAGTAGATGTCTCCAGAAATGAAGACCTGTCAAACAGCGGAAACTTACCTCTCACAGTCGCACAAGGAACCTGCATTGAGAATGCAACCAGCTCATACGTTCCTGATGATGGTACCAATGGTTGTGCGTTTCTGTGTATGGTCTTTGGCGATCACTTCCTGTGTTAAAATGAGAGGTCAACTGTCATCACATTTGAAGAAATTGCCTGCCTTGCTGAGGAAGTCATCATCGATTCCCCTCTTCAATTCACATTAATGAATTGGTACAGACTTGCATTTTCTCTGTTCCTCAATTCAGACTAAAGAATGATCATGATATATTTCTTAGTTCAGACCAAAAAAGTATTCCTGATATCACTTCGAATTGATTCGACAGTAAATTTGTCACAGGAGATGTAGTCTTTTGCAAAAACCCTGAAATATCAGCATACATGTATCAATATATTTTCTAATTCGCATAATTTCATATTTCTTCACTTTCACACCTTCATGAAAAGTCACTCCATATTACTTGAGACAGTTTACTTTATATAACTGCTACAAAATTTTACCCACAAGTCTGTTCTATCACCTTTATTCTAGGAACTTTTCTGTTTACCGATGATGCACCTGAGATATTAATATATAGATATTTCGATGGGCCTTGGTATTCAAAAAGTGTTTGTAAAAGGAAGAAGAGTCTTTTATCAAAGGCCGTAAATGGACATAGAATAAAGAGGCTGATTCTCTAGGTACGATTTTTGTGGACAGACATATATAGGTGCGTGGCTGAAACACTGGAAATATGCTCACTGCCAACCCACACAATGGGCGTAAATTTGCATATTTGGTTGTCTGTTTTTTTGGCTTCCTTGGTCCTGAAGATTTAGTAATAGCATCTACAATTTGTTACGCTTGGGGGAAACTAGTGCACGACAGATCTTTGAGCTGCTTCAAGCCCATGATTACATCGGAATTTTAGTCCAGGAGCATATGTCTGATAAATAGTTCCCGTAGGCTTTTTTGGAAGAAAGCAAATCATTAGCCTAGTAGTGTTCATTGGACCACCAGGATTCCTGAAAACGTTGTTGACAATTTTATAAAGCGTTCAGAGGATAATTATGGCGTGTTTAAAAAGGGCCTAGCTGATGCAGCATGAAAACGAGGCTAAAAAACTATAAAGGGCCATTATTTCTTTCTAATTCAGGGAAACTCAACCAAATTCACCAGGTACAATAAGCAAGCAACCCCGAAGCCAACGGATTAGTTTAATTCATTAGCGGAGGTCACGTGATCTATCTAGCATGAAAGCGAGGCTGTAAGCTGGGCATGAAATGAAGGTCAGCACATATCCCAGACTCGTGGCCCAACTCCTTAAATATAATTACGAGACAGTTCTGATGCCAGAAATTTTTGTTGTTTTCTTTTGTTTTTGCTTTTATTTTTTATTAATTAAGGAAACAAGGCTGCTAATCCATGTCCACTCCACTGACACTGATGTCTTTGTTCTTGCTTTAAGACGGTTTCTAAAGCCGTGTAGCAATGTTTCATTCGTTACAGGAAAGGGGCGCAACCGTAGAGAAATTAGGCTGGAACCAATAGTTCAGGCTCTCGGGGAAGCCAGGACAGCTGCTCTTCCCGCGTTTCATGCACTCAGTGGAGCAGATAACACCGGATGCTTTTCAGGCCATGGAAAACCTTTGTGTTAGAAGGCATTTCTGAATGTTGATGAAGATGTTGTCAGAGACATGGCCAAGCTGGGAACAACATTAACACCATCTGAAGAAGACATAAAGGCCACTGAGAAGTTTGTTTGCGAACTCTATGTTCCAAATACATCGCTTACCACCGTGAAAGAACTTCGATGGTTGTTATTTCGTAAGAAGCAAGCACAGTCAGAAAGACTGCCACCAACCCGAGGTGCTCTTCTTCAAGCTGTTCTACGAGCCCACTATCAAGCTATTGTTTGGGACAACGATGTTGTGGCAAACCCTGACATTCCGTCTCCTGAAAACTATGGGTGGGAGAAAAGTGACAACAGATGGTTTCCAGTAATGACAAGGCTGCTTCCAGCACCAGAGGCCATAATTCAGCTAGTCAAATGCGGATGCACCAAGCAGTGCGCAAGCAACCGATGCCAGTGCCGCAGAAATGGATTGCCATGCACAGACCTTTGCTCTTGCTGTGATGAAGAGGATGAACCCTGCCAGAATGTTTTCAATGATGTGGTAGATGACGATGAAGAATGTGATGACGAATAGGATGACATGAAGAATAAAGAAAATTAACAGATGGACCTTAAATTAATGCTGATACATTTTTATGTGTTCCTGTAAATGAAGCTATCTTACTTTGTGGGTTAACGTTACCTTCGATATATCAGTAAGAAATATGAAAGATATAAGGTGACTGACAACTTAACACAACTTTGTGCCCAGTTGAAAGCATTTAATTTTTTCTAGTAAGTTAACACGGTGATAGTATAGTTTGTATATTTTAATCTCACCAAGAACCAGCGATTGCTATTATTATTTATGGTTTACGGGACACAGTAAGGCTTAATGTAATTAATAAGCCTCGTTGTCATCGTTAGTTCATGATGTTACAGCAGAAATTTAGTGTAAACAGCTTTGTAAATTAAGGCGATTTTGGCCAGCATCAAGAATAAGTGTTTTCATGTCATTAATCGCGAGTTATGAGCCTCGTTTTCATGCTTAGTCAATCACGTGACTTTCATTAATAAACACAGTCGATTTCCTGGCATCTGGACTGTTTCACAATTAAATTGCAGGAGTTAGGACACGAGTCCGCGGTATGGGCTAATGTTACTTTCATGCTAAACTTACTAGCCTCGCTTTCATGCTAGATTGATCACGTGACCCCTGTTAATAATAGTTTTTTGGCTTCAGGGTTGCTTACTTGTTGTATCTGGTGAATTTGGGTGGGTTTCACTGAATTGGAGAGAAATAATGGCCCCTTGTAGCCTCTCAGCCTCGTTTCCATGCCGGATCAGGTAGGTCCTTTTTCAATACCCCATAATTACCGTCTAATCGCTTAACAAAATTGTCAACAACGATTTTTAGATTCCTTGTGGTCTAGTGAACCATGTTAGGCCACTGGCTTGCTTTCTTCCAAAAATACCCACGGAATAACTTTAGCACCCAGACTATTTGAGGAAATCGACCTTTTTGGGACTAACAATATGTACACACGCATTCCTTTATCAGTTTTCGAGGGAATTACGAGCCTTCTTTTAAATTCTACTGACATAAAAAGGAAAAATCTTTTACAGATATTCAAGTTATCAAAACTACCACATTTGAATGTGTAAAACTGCAGATTCCTGGAAGACAGAATTTTATTTTATGGAAGGAGTATTTAGGAGAACTAGTAGACCTTGACCATTCTCACAATAACCAAATAACTGTGCTAGGATTGGCGTGTTTGTGCTCATATCCTGCATTGCACCATATTCAAATCTACGGCCTAAAAGGAACTTCTGCTTTTGACCAAGACATTTTCCAGAGTTACGAGAGGTGTATGTAGAATTGAGATAGAAGACAGAGTTTATCTTCTGGATGATTGAATGACTGCCATTAAAAGTAGCAACATTATCTGTGGCAGCATATGCACCATCATCTGCTGTTTTATTGATCCATAAATCAATATCAAAGTATACATAATACCAATCAAAAGAATGAGCCTCATTGCTGCTATCACAAACCTATATCCCGTTTTCCTTTAGGAAGCATTATTACCTGCTGTGACTATTGGGTTCTGCAGATCAACAGAGACATATCCATATATTTTACAGTATTTGGACGATTTAAAACTCATCTATAAAATAAGATTAGATAATTTTAATAGTTTCATAATTATTCAAATTGTGCTGAGAGAGTGCTTTCCACAAATGATGGATTCTTAGGTTTGTTCAGCTGAGGTAAATATTTGATGTTCCCACTTCTATTTTCCATTCCAGCATTTGTTGTGGGTGCTTCAACAGTTTTCTTCTTTGGTGCCTCTAGACCACCCTCTTTCGCTTTTACTACTGATGGTTCTGCAGATGTTGCAGTTGTTGGCACCACTTCCACACAGGTCTTTCTTGTCTTTTTTATCAGTGCATCGATATTGGTATCTCTTAATACTATATTTATCCCTTTATCTCCTTACTCTGAACACATATTTAATATTGTAGATAAATAATTTCACATCTCCTTCAATATAAGATTAATATCATCTGAAATATCATTCAGATTAACTATTCTATTTTTCTCATCTGTGATTTATATTCTCATCTTTTTTATACAGGTTGCATTAATATTATTGAACAATGACCTCTTTGGTTCCACATCACATAGGTAACGGAGTGGGTAATTAGCAACACTAGCCTTGTATAATATGTTGGATGCACTACCAGCAATAGCTCAATATTTCCATGAAGTTTTGCACATATTTGTATTCTGTGCCTTTTTGGGTCTGTTCAATAGTAGGTGTTGAATCAGGATGGGTGTTAACTACTGTGGTATGTAGTCTTGTGGGTTTTCCTTATTAATGAGTATTTAAGGAGTGTTTTGTCTTTAGTTTTTTCCTCTCGCTGTGTTACAAGCACTGATTTAGTTTACACAGGGTGTGGATATGTCTGAGGAACAGGGAGGAAGATCTGGTTCTTCAATTTCGACCATTTCCAATGTCGACCCTAGAGTACAGTAGGCAATAAAGGACGCCATCTCGTCAATGTTTTCTGAACTGTCAACAAATCTTTCGTTCGTTATTGATTCCAGATTTTCTGATCTTAAGCACAATTTTTCCAAGGAGCAAGAGGCATCTTTGTCCTTTAAGTCAAAGTGGTCTAAAAAGAGTGAGCCAGAGTTGAATTCCAAGCACAGTGTTTACTTGATAAGCTTAAAAAGGCCAAGGATTCTTTAGCAAGCACTTAGTACAAGAAAGCGAAGGAAGCCTTCAAAGAAGGTATCACCTTATTAAAGAAGCATATTAAGGTTATCAAATTAGCTGATAGAAGTGAGTTTGGCTGGTCGACAGTGAAATAGTATTTGTTGAATGAGTTAGCTTCCAACAAAGACCTCAATAAAAGACTTAAATTCTCTCATGTATAATAAGACAAACCACAAAGCAAGAAAATATTTCTGCATGGACTGTTTACAACGTTTCACAACTGAAGATGTACTCAACAAACACAAATCTGATTGTATTCTCATTAGTGGAAATCAAGCAATAAAAGTGCCAAAAATAGAAAACAGGACATCAAAATTCAATAGTTTCATATAACAGTTTCCAGTTCCTTTTGCCATTTACACAGATTTTGAAGCTATATCAGAAAAGATTCAAACGTGTACACCCAGAACTGAATCAATCATACACAGAAGCATGTCACTAACACACAGATTGGGGATATGGTTATAAAAGTTGTTTGTTGCTATGATGACAGACTTGCTGTTTACGAGATGATTGACGTTGAAGATTGCAAAAAGACAGCTAACAAGCATTTCTCTTGACAGATTAGCGAGTAATTTACCTGATGAAGCAGTCAAACACACATCAGAAGTTTTCAAAGATGATAAATTCAAACGTAGAAAAAAGAAAGGTGCTTATCCTTATGATTACATTAACAGTGTAACAAAGTTTGATGAGAAACTACTTGAAAAAATTTCTACAGCAACATTCAAGATGAACATATATCTGATGAAGTACAAACATTCTCAAAGTGCATGGAATACATTCAATCTCAGTACTATGGGTGAATATCGTGATCTGTATTTGAAGTCTGATATTCTTTTGCTTGGTGATGTCTGAAAATTTCAGAAAGACCTGTCTACAGTATTACAACCGTGATCCATGTCATTATTTTACATCTCCAGGACTCTCTTGGGATGCAGTTTTTAAAATGACTGACATTAAATTGGAATTTAAGACAGACATTGATAGGTTATGAGAAAGGCATGTGCGGTGGTATCACACATTTTCAACCCACATGTAAGAGCAAACAACAAATACATGAACAGCCACAATGCTGAAGAACCATCAAAATATATCGTGTGTGGATGCCAATCATCTGTATGGATGGGCAATGAGTCAACATCTTTCAACTAGTTCTTTTAAATGATTGAGTGAAAAAGAAATTTAACATGCAAACTTAAGAAAACACACAGGAGCAAGCAAGAAGGGGGAGTTGATGTTAGAAGTTGATCTTGATAACCCACAAGAATTACATAAAAGCCACAATGATCATCCACTTGCAGCAGAAAAAATAAATGTTTCTTAAAGTACGCTATCCAATTATTGTGAAAGAATAACGCAAAAACATAAAATAAGCATTGCTCAAGTTAGAAAGCTTGTTCCAACATTATCAACAACAACAACAAAGTATGTCCTTCATCACAGAAACCTTCAATTTTATATGGTCTCATTAAAATACAGTTCAAAACCTACATTTAAGAGCTGCAAAATCTTTATAGGAATCTTGTTGCAATTCACAAAATAAAGGAACCAATCACATTAAAAACTCCTACATACATGGGCATGAGTATTCTTGATCTGTCAAAAAACACTTATGTATGATTTCCATTACAATTACATCAAAAGCAAATACCATGACAAGGCCAAATTATTATCCACAGATACTGACAGTTTAACATATGAAATACACATAGATGATGTTTACAGGGACTTTTGGACTGATAAAAACAAATTAAATAGCAGCTAATATCTGGAAAATTCACAATTTTGTGATAAAACAATCAAGAACACATCCCCATTTAAAACTTCTGTACTTCACCATTTTAATTTGCACTTGAAATGTTAGGTATCTTAGTTCCTGAATGATCCAATCAGGTCTCAAATACATTTTTGATGAGATCTTATGGGAATGAGTTTCTGTGTCAACCACTCAAATTGGTCTGTAATATGAACCTTACTCCACAGGAACTAAGTTCCTCAACAGACCAATGACTTGGAAGAATTCATGCCATGCAATTTCTAAATTAAGGTTTGCCTGTTTTATTTAAGTCAACACAAAATAAAACAGACAACAATGGTTTAACATTTCTGCTTTTTTAAAGAGCAGTAGGGATTCGCTACAAATTGGGCGCTGTCTTTAACAAATTATTCTCCCTCGAGGCTGCATTATTCTTATTTAGCGATCGGCATGTTTGAGCTTATCGTATAGCTTTCTCACAGTTGTAATTTTGAGTTACAAAATCAGTTATATTTTTTCTATTTAACTTTAGAAATAAACCGAATACACTATGGAAAGGCAACTGATAGAGTGCAAATTCTTAACAAATCGTTGAAAAAGAATGCCACCAACAATTTTGCTAGCTTTTATTTCTGCGCCAAAAGGTGTGTATTTATAAAGTGATCAAATGCCAAATATCCTCTGAATTGATTGTCAAGTCATCTCCAGTGATGATAAAGAACGTGCAAATTATCGCAACCACATGATAAAGTAAATTTACCTGCACTTTATCAAGCTGCGATATGCTAACATACTTACAAGTAAGCATGTAGAGTCTTACGCTTTTCTGTTACGAATGCGATAATAACATTTAAATAGTTTTGGTAACGTGACACTTACTAGAAGGTAGGCAAGGACTCTACCTGTGGACGCACGAGAAATTTCATCACCTTACATTTCCAATCTACTTTGCGATACGCAACGATTGCGTTACAATTTGGATTTTTCCACAGGATGCATTTTAAACATAAAAAAATCGGTCAATGAAACACAGCAAATCACTATTTATGAGGAGAGTTAAACAAATGTTACAATAAAACATTCAACAATGCTACCAGTTAACATAAACTTGAGCTTTGAGTACACAAGTTGTAAATAATTATCATGTTAACACTTTAAAGAAAGTGACTTACTGAACTTCAACTTCTTTGGAATCGCGAAATCACCATACTCCATTCGATTTTCCTTCCCAAGGAATTCAAATCTCAAAAGAGAATTTATTTTCGCCCCTTCACGCTTGGCTTCATCTCGAATAGAATGTCCAAATGAGAAGTCCACTCATTTTGCACCATGAAGTAGTTTTTGGTTGTGAATAGACGAGTAACAGATGTTTTTCTTTGTGTTTCCTAAATCGCATTCCCGACGGATATAGCCGTGTCTTGAGACATTCAGAATGCATTTATCACTCCACCAAGCCGCCAAATGAAATTCAACAAGTGAGAATGTGGTATGCGAAAAAGATCACTACTAAATGATCTTCTGAAAGTTATCGATCGAATGCAATTAATTTCATGGGAAGTCCTGATTTGACCTCAGCGGTATTGTTTTCTAATCTCAAGTCAAATAACTGCTAGATAGACTGCTAGATTTCTCGGCTTGGCGTGCCACCAACTACCACGTACAATACTGCTGAGTCATAACCATATATCCAGACAGGGTAGTTCGTCCATTCATGTTTGAGCCGCAACATAGCTCGTCTTCAGGAGAAGAAATTTTTGTTGACGAAGAAACTCAGCAAGAGATACAATGTATTAGGTGATTGACTCGATCTGGAAGGTAATTAAGTCTTCTCAAATAAAATCTTTGTTTCTAAAATGATAGTTTTTTAATTTTTTTACGAAAGAACAGCGCAGTGCCCTTGATGGATTTATTTCACACTGACAACTGAGTGACAAGAACTATCATTAAAATTGCTGGGAACAAGCTTCAATGGATTACTGAGCACGGATCATTTAGACCCGTGTGTTTTTGCCGACATCTTAAGAACAGCCCTTACTGGCATGCTCCAAGCGAGAAACGATAGACTTAAAGATTATCTGTCAAATGAGTAAGCATTGACAGAATATGAACATTTTTAACAAAATTCATGCAAACGAAACGCTTAAGTTGTTTGCAAGTTAGTCTGATGCGAGCCGTAAGAAACAAATGCAGTTTGTTGTCAGCCCTTTTGTTACAAGTGATGTTGTAATCTTTTGTTGCAAGGATGAACTTCACCGCAATATTAATTGTATATAGACATCTTTAGTTTGTATACTTTGTTTTCCTAATCGAGGAAAATCATAAGCAAGTATGGACGTGAATGAGACAAAATTGAAAGAAAATTTTCCCTACACTGGGAAAAATTTAAAAAGTAGGTCCACTGTTCCAAATTTGTTGATTGTAATCAGAGCCTCACGTTATACGACGAGCATCAGGAAGTCTCCTGTTATCAAACAGTATAAGCTTAGGATATTGATCTCATTACAGGCGCCTGCTTGGCGAAGTAGAATTTGCTTATATTAAGTGCACTTGTCTGGGTTCTGTTCCGACCATGTATCAGAGTATTTTGTTTTTCTCCTAAGAGCATGCGATTGGCAGGTTATAGACAGTCCACTTGGTGGACTTATAACAGTCTTGGTAAAAAGAACAGACGCGTGACTCTTTTGTGTGTTGTAGCATCAATAAGAAGTAATTACCCAAATGCAGCCGGAAACTATACAGACTTAAAAGATGCCGAGGAGAACGACTCATGGCCGGGATAGTCACGTTTAATCAACAAAATTGTCTTTGTATTTATTAAACATTTAAGGAAGTCTTTCTATGCCACTATAGGGGTATCAACTCCAGTTCCAATCATCAAAATACCTTGAACAGTCTGTTCCAAAGACATAAAACTATCGATGTGAATGCTAGTGGCATTGTAGGCAGTTATTCAATTTTTGTATTTCTATTTTTTCACTTGCTTAATTTTTTCGAAATTTGGATTCATGCCGTGCGAGAAGGTCCTCCTTAGGTGGGCGTGTGATTGATGTGATGTTTTTTGGGAGATCAGGGACTGAACAACAAGAAAGAAAAAAAAACAAACATTAAACACAGTAATCGTTTTCCTTATTGTCTTCTTATTTACACAGAGTGACGAGAGGACATTTTTACGGTGATTCTAAAATTAATAAATATTCTCTTGCCTTTTAATATAAGTATAAATACTGCTTTGGAAAAATGTTTGGAAAAAATTTTGGGAAAAATGGCGAATGTCGCCTTTGGTCACGACTGAAGTTACCAAACACGATCAATCACCTATGCGAGCCTCAATTTGTTTCGCTTCCATTAGAGTGGTTCTTAAAGAAAAATTTAAATTTAAGAAAAAACACATTTTGAATATTTGAAAGGTAAACATGACTTTGACTTTGAAGCAAGGGTCAAAAGACACATTTTTCAACCCTGAATATTCTCTATGGTGTCTTCTTTTGACAGTTAACCACAAGACAGTTGACCATAGTTTAACTGTCATAAAAAATACTTTGCGGAAAGGTTAATCAGTGTTGAACAAGGTTTGACTATTGCTACGTCATAGCTGACGTCATATCTAAGATAGCGTTTTTCTAGTTGCAAACGTTGTAAATAAGAGCAATTTCAAAGCACTATCGTCACAATTGAAAGGCAAACTGGAAAAACCGGCAATTATTTTCCAATTCCTGAGGAAAAATTCTTTTAATAGAGGTAAAATCTTTCTGGACTGTGCTTCCCCTTTAACATGTGTTTTCATTTTTCATTTTATCATCAAGCAATGTATCCCCTGACTTGCTTATCGCTTTAAAACAGTTTGAAGCTTACAGCATTTGAGTTAGTGAATCAATTCTTCATAACAACAAATATCATGTAACATTTAGTTGTCCACTTTATATACTTGTTTGTTCAAGGATTATATTTCCCATTCTACATGATATCAAAATGCTCTGTACAGAAGTGCGGTGTCTTTTCAGGATGAAGCCCTCTTTAAATCAGGGAAACACCGTATCCCTTATTACGTTTTTGACTAAATACAGATTTCTTTTATTAGTTCAAGAGGAAATTGCGCAAATAATTATTTGGCCGTTTCCCATTTGCTTGCGTCCTTAAATGCTGATGATATGTGTTCTCGTGATCGACATAATTTCCAACGCTTATGTTCTAGACCATAAAGTCAGCCAGCTTACTCGGAGCTAGTTATTCGAGTTTTCCGAATGTGTTTAACTCTACTGAATAATCCCCTAGTTATACCAGCTGATTTAACCTTCTTAATGAACATGCCTAGGCAAGGATTTTATGTTCCAATTTTACCATCTATGAGTACCACAACACCATCTAAACATCTACCGCCCTACCAAGCCCCAGAGTTCTGACTGCTGGTAAATGTTCTTAGAAAAGTAATGTACAGATTTAAGTCCTGCTTTCCAGAAAACTACGATCTCCTTCAGGTTGGGAAAGACAAAGCCCTGGACAAACGGGTGGAGTTATTCAACAGAAGGAAATGGGGAGATAAAAGCATGAAGAAAGTCCAGCAAATTGCGTGTCTTAGCAGGCGATGCTTTGCCCAAGTACAAAGAATGGCCGAGAATCCTGCGAGGTGTTGCAGGAGCCATAGGATTACCTCCTATACCTTTATGTTCTTGAAGGCATCAACGCCTGAGGAAGAGGCGTACGATTTGCTAGAAAAAGTAGCAGATGGAGAGAAGACAATTGCCAACCTTAACAAGGTAAGATGAGAAATGCTCCACAGTAACGACTGTTCACTGTTTTGTTTTTTGTCTTCAAAAAATGGAAATTATATTCTTCGTCGCAGATAAAAGTTAGGAGCGCAAAACATTTCTAGCTGCGGCATCTTTACGAAACTCCATAATTCCTAACTTGAACCTCATTTTCTTTAATATAAAGCTAGACAAAGTTTCCAACGCTGAACGAAAGAACCAAGGACCACCTGAAGTTGAGGAGGATCTGCTTTGATTTTTTCCCTTATCAATTCTGCTGATTGTGGTAAAATATCCAGCCCACGGTTTGAACTCCCTTTTGTATTTTTCAGGAGGCATCGACAAGTAAACAACTAAATAGACAAGAAGGTGTCCAAGAAGAGCATGCTGAGCTTCCATATTTGATATGTAAGACTAAAAAATTAAAAATTAATTGTAATTTAGTTGTAATTTTAATTAATTGTAAAATTAAATGGACTTTTAATTAACATTGGACTTTTGATTTTCAAGCAAAGTATGTGGACACAAATCTTAGTGCTCACATTGCTTTTCGCAAAAAAACAAACCCTCTTCATTCTGAGCAGAGAAAAAGCGGGGGCAGAATCCAAAATCCAATTTTTATATCAATACTCTATATTAGTGTTGGATACCAATAATACAACTTTATCCTGTTTCCTCATCAGCATTCCAAACTAAAACAACTCCAAGCAAATCTTGATTACGAGACAAAAACAACTTGCGAACTTCATAGAACGCTCCAGTCGGTGAGAAAATTACTTTGAGTTGTAGCGACACGATCACTAATTTATGAGCACTTCGTCAATAATTGAGCAAAGCCCTGCGTCAATACGAAAAAAAAAGTTTATCAGGACATGCGAGATTCTTCCCATTGAGTTTGGCTCTCGTCGTTCTTCTGAACGACAACGACGAACTCAGAAAATCTTTCGAAAAGGTAAACAAAACCATTAATGGCAAATTTCTTGCAATGATTTCAAAACTTTCCACAATTTATCACACTTACTTGTAATGCATCTATCATCGGCTATCCCCTGGGGGGGGGACCCCGGGCAAATTCAACGTTGAATGGGGACTTATACGGGGATTTGAACGATTAACTTACCCTGGAGGCGGGGGAAATGAGGGAGGTTTGTTTTCCAAAAGCCTTGCACCGCGGGGAAAACAGGGGACTTTGCAAACGAAACAGGTCAATTTCAAGTTGTCTTAAATGAAGAAACATGAAGACCGCTGTGCAGAAGAACGTGGTCCACCTTTCTCCTCGTGTTTGTGATGGCGACCTCGGCGGATGGCGCAGGTATTGTAATGTAAATCCATTTCCATCGTGTTATTTCCGCTATTGCCTTCTTCAGATATGACAATGGCAGACAGTTGACTAATATTAGTCTTTTGTTTTTCCCTTTTCAAGTGAATTCCTTGTCAGAGAAACAGGAGAAAACGGGATGTACGAAGATTTTCAGTGACTACGAATTATTTCGAAATTATTAGTGTATTTTATTCACGAGTAGCGGCGTGGAAAAATTTTCTACCCTTTCATCGTGAAAACCATACAGTTAGTAAAAGTATTAATTCTCTAATGGTTGAAATACAGTCACACTTTTTCCTGGCTTCTTTTTTTTAGAACAAAAGAAGAATAGATAATAATAATAATAATAATAATAATAATAATATTAATATTAATAATAATATTGATGCCAAAATAATTGTTTATCTTTATTCAGGTTCATGATCCAGTGTGATGTTTGTCGAACATGGTACCATGGCTCTTGCGTGGGGGTTTCTGAAGAAGATGCGGATGCGATGCCTGAGTATTATTGTGATATGTGCTCCACTTGAGCATTCTTGAATTTTGATAGGTTTATCATTTATGATATGCTGTCAATAGATCAGAAATGCTCATCAACATTGTTGTAAATATTCGGTTTAAGTCCAAAAAGTCAGCTGAACAGACATCGTGTATTACACTGTATTTTGGTTAACAATTTTTTGTGTAATTGTATTTAGCAGTACATTGAAATTTGCATTGTTACGAACATGTAAGCACTATTAAAACATGACATTTCGTTAAGGGTATAAAGTACTGTTTTCCTGTCAGATTTCAAGCTGCTCAAGGTGATTCCCCTCAGGGAGGGGAACTTTGATTCCTCTGTGTCCCCACCTAGGAGGGGGAAAATAAGAACTTTGACAGGGTCCTTTACAAAGTCCCCACCCTTGCCCGGGGTCCCCCCCCCAGGGGATGGCCGATGATAGGTGCATAATGATATTTTTAGAAAATACTGGAGCTTTGAACTGAGGTGGTGTCTCTCAAGAAACCAATGACAATGGAACACATTCCGGTTGAGCATGTTAGTAATATCTTCAGTGATGCAGCCATTTATCTTAGCTTTCACTCTCAGGTATTGCTTCTACATTCTTTACTGCAGGAGCAAGTTAAAAGAGCACAAAAGTTTCTGAGATTGAGGTACTGTTATTTTCGTACATTGGACGAAATCATTGTGATAACAGTCCATGGATTCAGTTTTTCGACCAGAGACTCGGAGGAAGATTCATCCTTTAGAAAGATACCGAACTGGTGGCGAAAAATTGGATTTCCTGCCGCAAAATAGAAGTATCCCTCGTAGGAAAAAAGCAATATTCTGTAGCACATTATGCCATTATTGAGTCAGAATATGACTCATTTAAGAAGAGGTATACTCTTAAGGAAAAGGTACATCATCAGGTACATTCAGCATGGGACTTGACTAAAGTCAAATAAATTGAAAACACCACTGTAGAAGACGGAGATGTTAAAATCAGCTTTGCCGATTTTTAAAACAATCGATCATTGCACAAACGCAAATAAGGATAGATTGCTGCGGGGTTGGCTCAACGATCAAGTAAGAATAGTACCTGGGATATTGACCTACTTTTTTCTCTTCATCCTCCAATTCAGCCAAATGAAGAAGACTGCATCTTGTTTATGAAAACGGCAAGTGAAACTAATGAAGTTCCTTTTTAAAATATTATCTTTAAAGGTGATCAATGCGTCTTTCCAAATCATACAAGCTGACGCACAGAAAAGGGTGAGGGCCGGAAATCTTTGAGTTAATGCAAGTGGCTTAATTGCCATCTTGAACCAGAACTATTTTTGTTGCTTATCATTTCACTTTTCGTCTTATTATTTATTTCCAACGAATAATTTTCGAATTTTCCTTTTGGAACACTTTTCCCACTGTACAGACACAGTGTTAGCGACAACGAGAAATGGTATGTAACAGAGAACTTGTTAGAAAAACTTTCTTGCTATGGCAAACAGAACAATAAACTGAACTGGTCTACTGATTAATTGTTCCTTCGGAAGCAGATCGTCCAATTTAAGGGAGCGCTGTCTGAACCTAGTCTTGTTTTCTCAGGTGTTCCTCAAGGGAGTTTTCTCTTACCACTATTGTTTTCAATTCACTTTGATGACACACACAAACCACTTTGTTACTCTAACATTATCACCTATGCAGATGACACAGTGATTCTTACATCCTCGAAAGATTTGGATGGTATCCAGCACAATCTAGGCGAAGACACCAATAGTCTTGCTAGTTGGTTTCGAGATAACAAACTAACAATCAATCTTAAAAAAGGAAAAACTGAAGTAATGCTGTTTGGAACAGCAAAAAGATTAAACAGATTCGATGGCAAAGAACCTCTTGGTTAATGCATCTCGTATCAACACAACACCAAGTTACAAGTACAAAACGTACAAGAACGCAGCAGGAAGAGTGAACTTATAACAGCGAATCTATTCTAACATTGACACCTTTAGCGCTGAACGAATCTACAGAACAATGATAATGCCTATTTTTACTTACTGTGGCCAGAAACCTGCAACAACAAAGTCACAGGACAACTCAGCCAAGTTCCAAATTTCAAAATTACCGACTCCGCCTACCCTCAGCTGAAAACATTTTGAAGAAAAAGGTTTCCTTATTTGTTTTTGACTGCCTACAAGGCAATGTTTGTACTCTTTTTAAGGATTATTTTGATTTTTTGACCCACGATTTTAATATGGAGACAGTGGGGCTACTTATGTTTTCACAATGGTAAAACTTGAATTTGCTAAGAAAACTTTACATTTTTTAGGTGCTTTAAATTTTAATTCTTTCCCTTTAAAAACTAGGCAGATTAGCAGTAAATTATTATTTAAGAGGTCTGTCGATGAATTTTTTTGTATAGTGTAGTTTTGGTAAGTTTGCGCTAGTTCTAAACAGGACCCCTTTGATAACACCACTCTTTCATCGTAAGGCTATCCTGTATAAATATGTTTTATTATTGTTACTATTATTACCGACCGATTGACCGATTGACATGATGAGTCTTTACAATGTTGTTTTCACACAATAACTCATTCACCATGAGATCCTTACAAACTTTGTTGGAAGGAAATTGTCTTTTTCGAAAGATCTTTTACTGTTTAACTTCTAATACGTTGTACTGAATTGAAGACCAACTCGCCGGCAACTCCACTCGATTTTATACGTCAGCAAGTTGGCATTGGCGAGTTGAACCGTCGGCAACTGACCGTAACTCTTATTATTGGGCCACATTTCTTTGTCTGCCTATAAAGTCTCATCAAAGACTGATTGATGCCAAACCTTTCTTTGTCAACTGGACTCCCTCAGAGTTACCACATGGAAGTCCACTACCTATTATGAAATGCAAGATGAATTTGGAAAGACTGCCCCCTCTATCGAGAAGAAGGTACAGAATAGTACAACACCAGTTCAGAAAAACACTAAGCAAAAACTGAGGCACCATCTGCCATCAGCCCTCCTTTCATGAGCCCCCTTAGAACAGTCTGTATGACTGAAGTGCTTCATAAATGAAGATTTTCCGTAGGTATCACACCTGTCTGTTGAAAACAGTGTTTCAGGAAACCATTTGTGTTTGGGAGCCACCTCAATAATTGTTTATTGGTGACTCCTGAAAGAGCTATTTTTGCTCCCAGGCATAAAGCCTATATTTCTCTCTGATGAGTGGTGTTAACTTTCTTTGATAAGAGACCTTTTAACCAGCAGGGAACCTCCATTCCAATGCAAATCTGTTTACAGTTTTGCTTGCCCCTAGTCTGTCAACACCAGTCTACCACAAGAGAGAACATATCACACTCCTTAGACATTTCTCTTAAAAAGGAGAAAGTTACATGAATCCATTACCCTTCTCCAGATCAAATATCTGGCTACTTAAAAAAAAAAAAAAAAAACTCTCTGAACAAACTAGATATTTTCTGTTGTTGTGTGTAAAAGTTTTGGATATCTGACAGAAATGAAAAGAGCAGTGCATGAAAAATACCAGAGTAAGATCAGACACAAGTGTACATCAGTAGATGAACATTTGATGACACCAACCGGGTGACGCTACATCGAAGGCGTTCGTCGAAGGTAAGATTACACGGTAATTTTGGTCAGCGGGAAAATTATGAAACATGCAAATATTGCGAAAGGATGACATCTAAAAACTGAAGGCAATCTTTGAATAAGACACTAGAATGCGTAGTGATGGCTGCAACTAATCAATCTCCTTTAAACAAATCGGAGATTGACTTCCTTGAGTCAAACCTTGAAAATTGTTCTGTTGAAAACCGGTACTTCGTGGATTATTTCAAAGGAAAAAGAGACCAGTTCGAGGATATGCTCGAGAGTTTTCTTCTAAGTAGTTCCACATACTTTGTAAAGAAGGCCTTGCACTCAAAGGACTTGAATCACAAGAGGTTTTCGAAAAATGGTGGGCAGTTTTTTTCAGTGCTGACAAATTTTTCGTATTACGTAAGTAAAAAACATTTAACTTCTCTCAACGGACTAAACGCTGCAAGGAGAATCTTTCTCATAATTTACTTTTGAAGAGACGAAGCTACCGTCTAAAAATTCAAACGTTACTGTTAGGCTTATTGGCGCATTGATAACCTAGTAGATAGCTCAAACATACTGAAAACATTTTTATCTGTTTTTGTATGTCTTTATCTGTGAGCCACATGTGACTAAACAAAAACAGAGAAGTATAGTTTGATGGCTTGTTTTCATGAATCTAGGATTTCGGGAATCGCTATAAACGCATTTAGTAATATTTCTTCTTCTAATGATTGATACTGGAAGAAAATAGTAACAGTGTCATGCTATTTTATGTGCCCGTTATAAAAATATTTGTACTCGCATTTAGCTCACGGGTAAAAATCTCGTGAAAATTGTTCAAAAGAAATATATCACAGTAGTTATTTTATGACAACCACAAAATACTCAAAACAAAATCAAGAAACTGCCACAGGACCTCAAGGTTCCTTTGTTCAGGACGATCTTGTACATCTCAGGTTTGAACTTTTCGTGGGAACAAGTGCTGAAGCTTACATAACCTATTTTAAATTTAATCGCTGTACTATAAACTTGTGTGTTCGACCCTCGGTGAACGCCTTCGATATAGCGTCACCCACACCAACCATCATAAAAACAACTTTCTCAAAACTCCACTGTCTCTTTTAAAAATCTGTTTTCCAAAATCTGATTTTCTTTGAAGATGCAAAAGGCAAGTTAATGGTTGCAAATAAGCATGCATCAAAATGCTTGGGCTGCAAACTGCCCCATAATGTTCACTTGTTTGGCGGCCCAGTCCTTATCATTCTTGAATGACTGTTCTGCCCACGCAAGATACTCCTCCAAAACATAAATTAGTGAAGAAGCATTGCCTAAAGACAGTGCTGATGCTGCCAGAGTATTGGATGACCCTATGAGTATGGCATTAGACAGCATAA